TCAATGTAACGCTCCAGGCACCATCTTCTGAGTTCTGATTACCCCAGCATATATTTTCAATTTTGCGATGGTCTTACCTCGGGAAAACTCCACTGTTGAGAATCCTTGAGTTCAATGTGAGTAACTCCACTGAATCCGTAGATTGGCCTCCAATGTGTGCTTTCTCTGTTGCCAAACATTCTGTCAACTCTGTTAAAACTTGAGCCATTGCTGGTCGATTGACGGACCTGGGAGAGCCGCACGCCATGGCTAATTCCAGAGCTCTCCACACCGAGTTTGTGTCATACATTCCGGCCTTCAACTTGGGATCGATGATGCCTCCAATGTCACCTCTTGTTAGCCTAAAACTAACCCATTCATAGATGTGGGGCTTATCCTCAGACATGTTGATTGCTGCCCTGCCCGTGATTAGTTCCAGGATCACGATACCGAAGCTATATATGTCACTTCTCTCGTTTAGCCTCTGTGTTTCATAGTACCTGAAAGGGCAGAAGCTTGTAACAAATATGAATGGTACGGCGAAAAAGTATAATTTCGCAACTGAAAAGCATCCGTTAATTACTTACTCAGGATCAAGGTATCCAGGGGTGCCAACCACTTTAGTTACCACAGAAGTGTCGTTGAAAGCTCGAGATAACCCAAAATCAGCTAACTTGGCTTCAAGATTCTCATTTAACAAGATATTAGGAGTTTTTATATCTCTGTGAATTATAGGTGGTCTGCAACCATTATGCAAATAATCCAATCCTGCAGGACAAATATTTTTACCATGTTGAGAATGTGATATACTATTTTTGCTCTCAGAACAGATGAAATAAGTAAATACAGCTAGAGGGAGTTCGGATACAGGACTAATTGAAGTGCAGCAAAAAGAATGCATGCAATTTTGACCTTGTGCTGTGTCCAATGCAATTTGGAGCCTCTGTGCCCAACTCAAGACGTTGCCATCATTTCCTAAAATATGTTCTCTTAAGTTTCCATTAGCCATGTACTCATATACAAGCGCCATCCGGCTGCCTTCGTAGCAGTAGCCAACCAGAGTTGTTAGATTGCGGTGATGAACCCTCGTTAGCAACTCGGCCTGAAGTTGGAATGCATTTTAATATACGGTCAAGATAATTCATGAAGCAAAGGTTTACTGATGCAAGGGCTGCCAAGTTTGTTTGTTTCTTTCAGAATATTCTTACTGGAAATGTATAAACACAAAACCTTGCGCATGTGTTGGTTAGCCTCAAGCCAAAATTTATTTCTGATTAAGGAAATAAAGGTATGAGGTCTGTTTATACCTCACTGTGAAACTCATGGTATCCTTGACCAGAATAGTCTGAGAGTAACTTCACAGCAACTGGTTTCCCATCAGCGATGCCATAGAAGACTGTTCCAAACCCCCCTTGTCCAAGAACCGTATGAAAATTGTTGGTCATCTTTAAGATATCCGAATATGAATACTGCAGATTTCTCGTCTCCAGAAAACCATCTTTTCTCTTGGGTGTGCCAATCATGTTTTCATGAACTGAAAAAGATCATTTAGGTATGAGAAGAATGCTACTCCCAGAGAAAAAATAGAAAATGCATATGAGGGAAATGTTGTTCACGATGCTGGCAATCGAGAATTACCTTTCTGTTTTGTCGTACTTGATTTCCTTTTCACCATCAGGATCACAACCAACACTGCCAAGATAATCAAGATTGCTGCAACTGAGACTACGACTGGAACAAGAAACTTCTTGGAGGTTTTCTTTCTCTGACATTGTCCAGCTTCACATTGATTTTGGGTTCCGGGGTTAGATGGCGAATTTGGGGGTCCGAGCGGAAAGCCATCGGCCCTATTAAAAAGGAACTTAGCGATAAATCCACCAATAATGCTCTGAAAACTGATACGAAAAGGTAGAGATTTTGATCTCTTTAAGAGACAACCAGAGACTTGAAGATGGCAAACCTTAATTCCAGGCCAGCGTTCACCTTGTCGAGAAGTTTCTGTGGGATTGAACCTGAAAACTGGTTTCCTGATAAGTTCCTACAAAAAGGAAAAGAATTTAGTTATGATCTTCTGATCTAGAAAATCTATAGCCTCTGAATGCGCAGGAAATATTTGTTTCAACTACTTACAGGACTTTCAATTGGGGCAGCTCAGCAAGAAAATCAGGCACTGGTCCATTTAAACTATTATTCGACAAATCCCTACGAATATAAATAAATTAACACTCAGATTGTTTCAAAAGCAACCATCTTTATGAGTTGAGATGATCTTATGAACAGTATCAGATCTGTTACAGAAACACTGCGGTTGTCAGAACTGATATATTTATTGTACTCACAGATTCTGTAGAAAAGTGAGATTGGAAAAATAGGGGGACACAACTCCTGTCAATCCACTGGAAGACAAATTCCTGAATACAATGAAATCAACTCGTGAGAAAAAAAAAAAAAAAAAAAAAAAAAGATCAATGCTTGGAACTCTATGTCCAAGTTTTGAATGAACGCCAACATACAGGGATATAATCCTGGGAGGGGCGCCACTATTATTGTAGATGATGCAAGAAAGACCGTCCCACATGAACTCCAGAGGAACGCAAGGATCTCCTTGCCAATCTTTCTTCAGTTGATAGGTAGACTTGATATTAAGAATTGTCTTTACTACAAGTTTAAAAGAGCAACTTTTTCAGGTTTTTTTTTTTTTTTTTGTGGATAAAGTACGGTCATAATCTGGATTCTAGTTGCAAAAAAAAAAAATTATGGCTTGTACGTACCATCAGTTTCGGCAGTCTGTGATTGCAAGAAGCGCTTAATGGTATAAATCTCGAAAGCATTGAGGATGGGTGGAAGAGTTGAATTCTCAGTGCTCACCAGTGTAAAATTGAAACTTACTCCCGTTTCTCCCCGAGCTGGGTAAAAGGTGGTTACACTGAGATAACTAGGAACCACAGTTTGCTTAGACCACAGTCCATCTCGCTTATACACATCAAATGCTCTGTAATCAAACCTCCGGAGCAGTACAACTTCCGCGAAATGCATGTACATGTAAAATTCCAAGTTGGGATCATTGGGTGTCCAAGTGATCACTAGGGATTCAGTAGCATCCAGGAGTGTCGCAGCGGTCTGCATCACTGCCTGTGGGGGTTGGTAGTTGTTGCTTACATCGATATCCAGTTTCGTGCTTAACGAAGTCCAGGATCCAGCCGAGGGAAAGGGAGTCCATAGCCTATCATAAATGTCATCCGGGTACCTGAGAGTATTCCCATTTTATTAATTGAAACTAAAAGAAACACATAAATCCGCTACGTCTGCTAAATTAATCGTTCCTTAGTCAATCAAGCTTACCTGATCACTTCAATGGGATCTGCCGGAGCACAATTTCCTCGATAGTAAGTTGCAAGTGAATCAGTAGAGTTTTGAGTAGGATAAGCAATTTGATTAATCAGCCGAAGTTCTAAAGCTGAGATGAAAGGTATTCCTGTACCCGAATTGACCAAACAAATGTAAAAGTAATTTGATGAAGGAACATGGATGATTTCCTTATTAGTAGTTGAAGCTGCATCTTTCACTTCTACTGTATCCCACAACTCAACTCCCAGATAAAGACCAAATGTTGTTGTCTGGTTCTTTCCGTCATAATTTCCGTACATAAACGTTGCTCTCACCAAATACTTTCTACCTTTGCCCTGTAATGCAGTAAAGTTGTAGCAATTCTTAGTACCAGTAGGAAAACTTCTGACGGTCCATAGCTGACGGGAAAGTGAGCTGCTCTTGTACTCTGGTGCTATATTGGAGTTTTCGCCTGTATCAATGAAGGATTCATCTGTTTGGTAATGAAGGCTAGAAACGGCATCAACATAGCTTCCAACTTCAGGAGGCAACCCGCAATCTATGCTTATAAATCCTGCATAGTGTTGCATCAATTTATGATCAATTGTTTTGTGCATATCACATATCAGCAACCTAATATATACTGATTAAAAGTTAAGGAACAAAAGGAAGAAAAAAAAAAAAAAGGAACGGAAGGTAAAAGCAAAAGGTCCAACTTTCTGTTGGGATCAACCTGCTTCTTGTGCATCACTAGAGATGATCGCGAGATCAACAATGCAGAGAAACAACAGGTAAAATTTCCGGTGCAGCATTCTGGACATTGTTGGCTTTGTTGACAATCGGACTAGAACAGGTAAACTGAAAGGTATTGGCCCTTCTTCATACTATAACATCAAAACAAATCATCAAGTCGGGGAATATTGGTAAGCGTAAGAACTTTCAGAGCACACACTACAGAGAATTGTGGTACGGTTTTTAATTTTTCCAGGTCATTCATCTGACGAAGTAGGGAATTTCAAAGGACCTATAACTTTTTAATATGAAAGTCATTTTATATACGAATTCAACTGTAAAGTTGCAATCACGTTCGGCTGACCATGAAATGCAACTTAAAAAATAGCAGAGCTGGAATCTGAGATAGTTGAGGGTTCTTAGTTCTTAATAATGCGAACATGAAAACCAACCAATCCTTCGTGAAAATATCAAAGTCAAAGCAATAATAATATTAAAGTCCTTAATCTCTCTAACCTACGCATTGTTCACAACATTCTTCAAGTTTTGCCCAGTTCAAACAGTTTTGTATCTGTGTATGATGTAATTTCTTCATTAAAATATTTACAAGAAGAGAGAATCTAAGAACTCATCAAAAAATTTAAAAAAATAACCAATATAAGAAGTGATAGCAACAAGCTTCGTTAATTATATCTTCTCCTCTAAAGTCTAATCTTATCAATAACTGAAACAGTTTCTCGATTTGCTCTTTCCTCTTCTTCTATTTTGATCTTTATAAATGTTAAATGTCAAATAAAAATACATCGCCTAAGCAAGCCAAACTGACTGGAGAAACGTGCAATGCATACAGAAGTTTTATTTCCAAAACAGCATCACAGCTGTGCACCTTCTTTCCAGTGTCCTCTCTGGAAGACTAAGTACCATCTGCATACTAACAGAGAATGTTGCATCTTCGCGATAGTCTACCTCGGGGAAACTCCGCTGTTGAGAATTCTTGAGTTCATTGAGAGTAAATCCTCTGAACCTGTATGCTGACCTCCCAGCCACGCTTTCTGAGAGGCCAAACATTCTACCAACTCTGTTACAGCGTGAGCCATCAGTGGTCGATTCACAGACTTGGGAGAAGCGCATGCCATGGCTAATTCTAGGGTTCTCCATACTGAATTAGTATCATAAAATTCCAGCAACTTTGGATCGACAATACTTCCAATGTCCCCTCTAGCTAGCCAAAAACTAACCCATTCATATATGTGGGGATTCTCCTCAGCCATGGCTATCACTGGTCGGCCTGTGATTAGTTCCAGGATTACGATTCCAAAGCTATAAATGTCACTTTTGACAATTAACCTCTGTGTTCCATGGTACCTGATGGCCAACAGCTATTAAAAATGAGAATGATACAAAGAAAGGGTCTAATTAAACAGCTGAAAAGGGCATATAACTCACTCTGGATCAAGGTACCCCGGGGTACCGACCACTTTTGTTATCACATAAGAATCACTGAAGACTCTAGATAGTCCAAAATCAGCTAACTTGGCTTCAAAATTTTCATTTAACAAGATGTTCGTCGACTTTATATCTCTGTGAATTATGGGTGGTCTACAGCCATTGTGCAGATAATCTAGTCCTGTGAATCATCACAATCTTGTGAATGTAATGTATTTGAAGGTAAGAGTTCTGAAATACGACTATAGGAACCAATAACTGCAATAATGACCTTGCGCCACATCCAACGCAATTTGAAGCCTCTGCAACCAACTCAAGACATTTCCATCAATACCTGGATGCACAAAAGAGAGACTACAATTGATTACTTCCATCAACTGAAAATACTAATGAAACATCTAACATTTCCATGATCAATCAGCTATATCTAAAGTCGCGAACATGAAAGATAAAAATGAACTTTTGTTCTAATAATACCTGAAATATGGTCCCTTAAGTTTCCATTAGCCATGTACTCGTATACAAGCGCCATCTGGTTGCCTTGATAGCAATAGCCAACCAGAGTTGTTAAGTTGCGATGATGAACCTTTGTCAGTAGCTCTGCCTGAGGTGTCAATAATAAACCGTCCTTTAGGTGATCTTGCTTAATGTAGGCAAAGAGAGTAATCAGACCAGGGGGTAACTGCAGTTTCTTAGATAGTTTTTTAACCTTTAATAAAATGAAACATAAAACGCAGCTTGATTTAAGAAGTTTTTGTAAATATTTTCGTAGTTGTAGTTACTCAAATTTGACTTCTCATGTTGTACAGACTGTTTTTGCAGTTAGATGAACTTAATACCTTCACCTTTTTACCGATTTAAAAAAAAAAAAAAACTTAGATTGTTTGTTGCGGTACAATAGTTGTTGGAAATAAATTTATGAATAAGGATATGAATGTATTTACCTCTCTGTGAAACTCATGGTATCCTTGAGTAGAAGAGTCAGAGAGTAACTTCACAGCAACTGCTTTCCCATCAGTGATACCATAGTAGACTGTTCCAAACCCACCTTGTCCAAGAACACTTTGAAAATTGTTGGTCATCTTCAAGATATCTTTATATGAATACTGCAGGTTTTTTGGATCCAAAAAACCATCATTTCTGTTGAAGGTGTTGCCCAAGATTTCGACTGTGAAATGCTACTCTTGTCAGTGAAAATTGAAAAATGCTTATGCTGATAATGTCATTCGTGATACTCCAATTGACTGGTACCTTTCTGTTTTTCCATTCTCGCTTTCCTTCTTACCATCACAAACACAACAACAGCAGCCAAGATTACAAAAAATGCTGATATTGAGACGACTAGTGGAAAGGTGAGTTTCTTCCTTGTATGATAGCCATCGGCCCTATCCAAAATGAAGTATGATAGATGCACTAAAGCTATAAACATAAAAAGTACACACATCTCATGGAAGCCTTTACAAAGAGTTAGATTTATAACTCTATAAAAGATGATCACAGACATGAATACGGCAAACCTTAACTCCAAACCATTCTTCGCCTTGTCGAGAAGTTTCTTCGGAATTGGACCTGAAAACTGGTTTCCTGATAAGTTCCTACAGAGAGCAATTGCATGTGACTGTTTAATCTTTCTAACAAACAATTATAGGGGCACTGAACAAATAAGTTAGCTACTTACAGGGTTTTCAATTGGGGCAGGTCAGCAAGAAAATCCGGCACTTGTCCATACAAACTATTATATGATAAATCCCTGATATATTTGTATGAATTATTAACATCACATTATTTTGTAAAACAAATTAGCAACAGTTATTAAATTAGTTCAGATGATACTGCGAATATTATCAAAGCTTTTCCTGCTAGAACATAATGGTCAGAACTCAACTCAGGCACATTTTAACTCACAGAGTCTGTAAGAAAGTGAGACTGGAAAGGTAGGGCGACACAGCCCCTGTCAATCCACTCGAAGACAAATTCCTGAATGCAAATTGAATCATATCATTAGTCGGAAAACATAATCAAACAGTCGTAATTCATTCATTACATCTACGCAAAACATACAAGGATGTGATCCGGGGAGGAGTACTACTATTGTCGTAGAAGATGCAAGCAAGACCAGTCCACACTGAGTCCCCGGGAAGACAAGGATCACCTTGCCAGTGTCTCTTTACTTGGTATGTTGACTTGATACTAAGAATTGCCATTACTACAAGTTCAAAGCATGAAATTAAGTAACCTTTTGTAGTTTTAGGGAAATTCCAGTGTTGAATCCAGGATTCGAGTCAGCACCAAAAAAATAATAATAACAAGAAGAAGAAGAAGAAGTAAAGAATCAGAATCGTGTCTGGGATTTATGCGGAGTATTAGTATTGTTTTAGTATTGTGTTTCGTTTATCAGTTTTAGAAAAGAAATATGCTGAATAGGAAATGAATTCAAACATTCATTTAAAATCGATTCATAACCCATCCATCATAAGTGACTCTTCTTACTGGTATGTGAAATCGATATAGATCAGGGTCTTGTACGTACCATCATTTTCATCAGTCTGTGATCCCAGAAAACGCCTAAGTGTGTAAACCTCCAAAGCGTTGACGAGGGGTGGAAGAGTTGAATTCCAAGAACTCACAAGCGAATAACTGAAACTTACTATACTGTCTCCATTACCACCAGCAGGAGGGAAAGTAATTACACTGAGATAAGCAGGAACCACATGAGCGCCCCAATATTGATCTTGCTTAAACACATCAAAGGCTCGATAACCAGTGCCATTTCCTACTTTCAGTGGCGCAATGCATCGAGAATAGTTCTGACACACTAGTTCAGCAAAATGCCAGTACAGATAGAACTCCAAGTTTGGATCGGTTCGGCCCCAATCAAATATTAGGGATTCATGAGCATTCCGGGGTGTCACGGCTGTCTGCATCACCGCCATCGGTGGTTGGTAGTCGTTGTTTACGCTGATGTTTAGTGTGGTGCTTAATGAATCCCAGCCCGGAGGTGAGGGATACGGGTGCCACAGCCGATCACAAGTGTCATTCGGGTACCTTTAAAAGTGTGAATTCAGACAAATCAAAACAAGTTAGACCACCCTGTTTGAATAAGGCCTGTAGTTGAAATAAATAAACCGATTCAATCCTACAGTTCTTGTTTCATGGAGAACACCTGATAACTTGAATCGGATCTGCCGGAGCGAAATTCCATCTAGCATAACCTGCAAGTGATTCACTAGAATTGTGCGTTGGATAAGCGACTTGACTTACAGGCCGAAGCTCTAAGGCTGAGATAAAAGGTGTTCCAGTTCCCAAATTGACTAGACAAACATAAAAAAGATTTGATGAAGGAACATGGAGGATCTCCTTGATAATAGGTGAATTTGTATTGTCTGCAACCACCCTGTCCCACAACTCGATTCCCAGATAGAGATCGAACGTTGGTGGCTGTTTTTTCCCATCGTAGTTTCCATACATAAACATTGCTCTGATCAAATATCTTTTCCCTTTGCCCTGTATTGATGATAGATTGTAACAGTTCCTAGTATCGTTGGGAAAACTTCTGACATTCCGCAGTTGCTGTGCAACTGAGCTGTCCAAGTAGTCTCCGTCTACTATAGGAACGTTTTCGCCCGTGTCAATGAAGGATTCATCCGTCTGGTACTCGAGTTTGGAAACAGGATCGACGTAGTTGCCATATTTAGGATCCAGCCCACAATCTATGCTTATGAACCCTGCAAATCAACATTTGTCTTCAACATCAGATAAAAAATCAAGAAGGTGGTAAGTTATGCGTCAAGGTAATGCTCAAAAATTCCTCTATGTACTCCCTTTGTTCCAAAATTATTATCAAGTTTGAGAATAAAAATCCAAACTGGACAATAATTTTGGGACGGAGGGAGCAGGAAAAAGGACCTAGAGTCGGCGGAAGATCTTGTGCATGGCTAGAGATGATTGCCAAAGTGCCCAAGTAGAGCAACAATGGGTTGAGTGTCAAGTACTGCAGCTGCAGCATCCGGTAAGTTTTTTGATCGGATTCTTGTCAATCAGGCTAGACTTGGGAGAACTCAGAATGAATTGGCCATCAGTTGTAGTATACTACTAATTATATCGACTTGAAGGCCGCCTATTCGCTACAAATTGATCTCGCACCTTTCAGATTACGGAAGCGAAGTTTTTAGTTTTCAGATACGTTCTGCCGACTGGAGTACAAAAAGTTGAACAAATCTATAGCATTCAGTATTTCAGTTCAAAATTCAAATGGAGTCATTTTCAGAAGCAAATTTCAGAGGAAAACTTAGCAATCACTGATTTCAGCTGACCATAAAATTCATTTTCAAAACAATGTAGCTCCAATCTGTTATGACGTCTATGATGGGTAAAGCAGAGAATACTACCAGAATTACTTACTAGTCCTTAACCTTTTGCATCAGTATTCACTATTATTCACTTCTATGATAAATCGAGAAACAATGGAACAGATGGCCCCTTAACTTGGCTGATCCGTTCACTTATGAGCCCTGGTTCACCACTTTCCCACAAGGTAACTCGAGTTCTAATTGAATTCACAAGGACACCTTTTAAATACTATCTCTGTCCCAAAAAATAGTCCACATTGAGTTTTGAGATTTGTACTAATTTTAGTACAAATTTGAAAACTCAATGTGAACTATTTTTTTGGGACGTAGGGAGTACAATATAAATAGTTAACGACAATGATAACTGATTAATCTTCAAATTGGCATCCCCCAATGTTTAGAATTTGTCATCCCTCATCAGTCATCATAGTTAAGGGAAAAAAAAAAAAAAAAAAACCCATTCCATGTTTAGTTAGCAGTAGTACTTCGTCATCGTCATTGTACTCATGCTGGATGGACTAAATCCATCTTTTACGTACATTAGTCATTACTATACGTAAACCTAGATGAAGATTTATATTTATCCAACTTGTTCTCCTACATTTTAAGTTTTGACTTTTAACGAGTAATATTACCGTCATAAATATTTGCCTAAATCATTAACACAGGACTGAGTTTGACCCCCATAATTCCAAAGTACATACATTAACAGAGTTATTTTAGTGAGGAATAATTATTATTTTTTACCATACTTGATGAAACACAACTCACTTGTCCTTTTTATATTAAGTTAAAACTCAGTTTCAAGTAAAATGCGATTAAAATCCAATTTGAATTTCTTTCCTTATTTTTTTTCTCTATTTTTTGTACGATGATAAAACTCTATCAAGAATCAACTTATTTGTAACAATGATCAAATGCTATCTTCTTAAGCCCGAAAGTATCACAAGCTAAGCTCAACCGATTTTAGTACTGTTTTATAACTCCAAGGCCGGCTGATCAGTCCCGGTACAAAGAAGCTGATTGTAGGTTTGAATCATATCATTGATGATGCAGCATTAAAAGATGAAGCAAGTAGGTATTCGGAATCAAGAATCCAGTCCAGCAAGCTGATAGTAAACATTTAGGCTTGTTTGAAACCCAAATTCAAGATTTTACAGAGTTCATTTCAAATGGCAGGTAATATACAGATACAGGACACCTGCTTACATCTCGACTAGTTCTTTACACTGCCAAGTTCAGCAGTCACATCACAATCTGCACCATCAAAGAAAATCCTCCAACTGCATCGAATGAAAGCTGTTAAGGATCAACAAAGAAGCTCACTGATCCAGTGATGGAAATTGAGAAGTTATATACAGTAAGATTTAAAACAAAACCAGTTATAGATACAGGAGTAGCCCTTACTGATGCAAACTTTAGACTACTCCTGCATTTTTGTTTGTCCTGTTTGTCTCAACCCCTAACGGATTCACAAGCGTGTGGTGCATAATGTAATCAATCTTCTCTCCTTCCGGCACATATTTGATGTGTACTTTTCCAGATTCAACATAATAGGCTATTCTATGATCCTCGTGTGAGCGAAATTGCAACCGACCCTTACTAAAGGTGCGTGGTTTCGGCTTCTCTGTTATGTTCGGATAATTGCTCAAGAATGACAAAGAAATGATTCTCTTTCTTTCGCCCCATGTTTGCTTCTTGTAATCTTCCAGAACCCACACATGAAGCTCAAGCCCTAAAACTTTTGCCAGGGATAACTTCTTGTCCCAGCTAATAGGTACAACGCTATCCCAACTTTGGAAGAGAGCTTGGGGAACCTTCAAAATTTTGAAGGACTCACTATCCATTTCAAGGCAGACAATTTGGTGACTAGAAAACCTCATGTAGTAGAATCTATCATCTATAGAACCATATGACCCTTTCATTCGTCTTCTGTTGAGGTCATAAAAGCTAGGAATATCAAGGGTTCTCCATGCCATATCAGTTCCTATTGACAGAACTTCACAGCCTCCGAGTCTACTTCCTTTCTTGCCATAGACATTGATCAACTTATAAGTGTCTGTGCTTGGAAGATAAACGAGCTTTGTGTATTTGAGGTTATGATGCGGGTCAGGAAGATCAAGCTTATACTTCGTTGCAGGGTTTTGGATCCTATACTTCTTTGTTATCCGGTGCTTCTCCACCAATAGACCATCCTTGACAGCCAGGCATTCAAATTCCTTTGTGTCTCCTTTTTCTTTGCACACATAAATAGTGTTCGAGCGTTTCATATGCACCTCAACAAACTTGCGGTCCTCAATCATAGAGCACCACAGTTTACAAACAGTTTTAAACACCAATAAGGACTTCACAGGCAACCTGCTAATGATCTCAAAGACAGTTTCAGGAGGCAGGAACAAAAATGATTCGGTTTCAGGATCTGAACAAGACTTCTCATCCTCAGGAGCATTCTCGCCAGAAGCGACTAGCTCTTCACCCAGTTTCTCCATTCTGAGATGAATTCAAGACAATTTAAAACCACAAAACCATCACTCGGAACATCAATGGCACAAAATTCTCTACAGATCTTATCAACAAATAAAATCACTTTCACACCAGTAGAGGAAACAGCGGGGGTCCACCACGAAACCCTATAGTCAACAATTCATTCAGGTAATTATATCACAACTCTAACAAACAGATTCCAAAGAAAGCTACTGTTCCAGGTGAATGACTAGCCGTTTAGTGTTTAGTTCTCCAAATTTTTTAAATCAGCTTGGAAATCACTTTGAACCATCATCAAAGGTACCTGAAGCTTAATGAACTGGAAAAAAAAATGCATATCAAAACTAAAACCACCAAACAGCAGGGAATAAAGCTGAGCAATTTGACTCTATTATAAACCATCAGAGATCAAAAAAGAGTTTCAAGGGGGCTTATTGAACGTAATGGAATAGCATTCCATCTCAGTAAACAAACCATAGACTTTAGAGTACTGAAATCTAAAGAAGCACTATCCTCAGTTCTCAAGAAAAATTCATACATGGGATTGGCTATATTTGAAGAATACTTTTTTTTTTTTTGTGTGTGTTTAAGCAAGACTACATTTTTGGTTCTGGCAAACTGAAACCTTAAGTCAACAACTATACTAATCCAACCAAATTCTTTAGTCTAAAGCTGTGGTGAAACAGGCAAATTATTGAGAATCCCTTGTGCAAAATCCAAACATGTGAGCAAAATTGATCGTTTGCTAAATCAACAAAGGATCGATAAATCAGAAGCTGATCACCTTCCAACAAAATATAGGCCTTATAAGAAAATAGCAGAGTGAACAAAATTAAGTGACCAGAATCGAAAATAGCACAGACTGAACAAAATTAAGTGACCAAAATCAATGAAGTGATGAAGAATTGCAGTACGAAAACAAAATTTACCGCTAAGAATTGGCCCCTCTTTGCAGCCTCCGCTGCACAAAAAAAAAAAAAAAAAAACGATTTCTAAGATTTTTACTTTCCACTTAGAGTTAATAGTACTTTATACGATACGGTTTGGGCCTTTGGGGAGAACTGGAAAAACGGAGACAGACCATGAGGAAAATATCTTATGGGCCCTTATAAGTTGGACAAGTGGGCAAGGACGAAACTTACTCGATCTTAGGGCCAACCTAAAGCTCAATTAAAGGCCTACTTCATCATCTGCCCCTTATTGTTTTTTTTCTTTTTTTTTTCTTTTTCGCATTTTTAAATTTCTTTTTCCTTCTTCCATTTTTTTATATTCCCACATGCCACTAGTGATAAAATAATATAAAATGATAATTTTTTTGGGTGTAATTTTTTATATGGAAATCAACATCATAATGTAATAATAACATGAAAGATAAAAGTAACTAAAAATATTAAGTCAAAATATGAATTTATTAATTCTATGAGATCATTTTGAGAGGGTGCATACCAATTTTGGGATAAAGAAAAATCGATTTTATTATTATTATTATTTTTTTTGTGAAAAGAGATTTTATTTTTATTTTTTTTACTTTTTCAGTACAATCTCTAAACAATTGTTGTCCATGTATGATTAAGCTTGAATTTCGAGCCTGACAAAGTATTTGCCGCCGACTTAAAAGCATTTCGTCTTTCACCGTAGTTTTCTGTTTCACAAAATCACAATTCTTCATCAAGGAGGAGTGGAAGGTTCTCAAAGGAATTTAATTACAAAGGAATAAAGAAAAAGGAAAAAAGAAACTTTAACCAAAAATATAAGGTAATCACAGGTCATCAATGGTCCAACTTCATAGGACTTTTGAGTATCTCAGTGACGAGGGAGTTCATTTTAAAATTCTTTTTTTCTTCCAATAATGTAACCTAACCAGCTTGCTTAACACTTCAAACATTACTATTATAACCGAGAATTTATATACCACTTTCCCTTGTTGATAAATATTTCGTTTTTCTTCTTCAGGTCAAGGTAAAGAGAAACTTTATGATTAACTACAATAAAAGGATCAATTCAATGGTCCAACTTCATCGGAATTTTGAGTATCTCTGTGATGAGGGAGTTCTTTTTTTTTTCGAGTTGCTCAGTAAGAGAATTAGTCATTGTCTAATTGTAAATTTCATTACAATATAAAAACGAAAAACAAAAGTTGTTAGGTTTCTTACACTAATGCTTCCTCCGTCTTACAAAAATAATTCACATTGAATTTTTGAGTTGTGTGCTGTTTTTAGTACAAATTTAAAAATTCAATGTAGACTATTTTTTTAGAACGGGATAATATTATAAAGTTTTCCGTCGTAGACCATCAAATTTACTAGCGTAGTTCCTCCAAGTGTCACACCATCACGATCCCCGGAATGTACAATGCCCCACGGTAGGTAATTTGATCATAGGCTGGAATCCTTATATTAAAACATTCTAAATCAACTAAGTCAATATTTTAGCTTTTGCCCGGCGCCATATAAGTTCACTCCCAGCAGTCCCATAATATGCATTCGTTTCTTTACCAAAATGACAACAGCAAGATGTTTTAGGAAATAGCTCGGAACCTTAAACCTAGATTAATTAAATTGAACTCTCAGGGTGATACTATATTATTATGTGCTTATAATTGCATGAGAACATTAAAGTGAGTTGGGAAGGTACAATGAGAGTGTATCATAAATAAATAATCGAACTATCATGAGCTAACCCCTAACTGGAGATATAATTTGCATGGTTGTGAATTGTGAAGGACGTCGACAGTATGAGAGTTTAGAGAAGACTTTTAAAATGTATACGGAGGGGCTCTACCATATGCATTATTATCTCCTTGTCGTTCTTTGTTCCTTGCGATCGTGTGTATGAAGTTATCATCTCTAATTTCAATTGAAGTAAACCAATTATCAAGAAATGGATTTAGCATTGAGAGTCACATAATCTGAAAAATGCGTCTTTTATTTCGAAATAAGACATTCATATAACTTACTTTGTAAAGTGTAAATTGTATTGTGATCATAATAAGAGTAATAAAAGTCAAAATATACGGGATTGATGTATCATATATAGATACAGTTAGTTTATATTGTAAGAAAAATCACAATTTCAAAAAGGTTTTATCTTTTCCCAAAAAGTTGGAAAGTATACTCAAGGGAAAAAAAAACAAACAAGAAAATAAAATTCGACACAAAGTTTGAACTAGTAAATTTGATCAATGTCACTTGAGCGAGTAAAATATACAAGGAACCCTGCTGGATTAAGGGACAAAATATTTAGATCAAAAGAAGAAGAAGAAGCAGGAAGAATACACTGACAAGTGGAAAAGCCAGACCATTTTGCTTAAAGTTTGACCAGCTCCATCACCTTCAGTTTGGGTACTACTTCTACTATACAGTCCGGCCAAAATCTTTGAACGTCTCTGCGCGTGAAATCCACTATTTTTTTAGTCAATAAAAGAGGCATGCAGCCATGCACATATATCAAACTCTCTCACATCTTGTCGCTAACAAAATAATCATCATGGCCAAAATTGCATTAAATTGGGGACATACATTATCACACTCACTCTCAAAACCAAAAATTATTGTAAAGGCCAGGGCAGAAATACATTCATTTAGCAAGTTGTTATATGGAAAACGACTCTTCATCTTGCTGTGTTTTAATTTTTGCAGTTAATTTCTTTCCATCCTCAATGATTTGGTTCATCTCCACTCTCGTCAAATTGGGGAAATACAAAATGAAATGTCTAATGTCTAAACAAATAAATATGTATTCAAATCAACTTAATTTGCGATCTTACGCACCGCTTGCCACACCCTTAATTGAGTTCAGAAGCGACTTTTTTTTTCTTTTTTTTTTTTACTTTTTGATGACAAGAAAGTTAGATCACTTGTCAAACTATGAGAGACCATTATGATCATTATTTCGAGTAAATATAAAAAGTAAAAACACATACATATATACTTAAACAAACCCTCATGACGTTTGAGTTCATATTCGATTCGACATATATGATTGATGTGTAATCGATCGTGAACTTCATACAAACCAAATACCATCAGCAATTGCTAAGGAATTTCTTTGATAAATGCTCCTCTACTATGAAGAACAAGTCTCCTGTTGCCCTCGGTTTGATCGTGAAAAACGTGTTCGATCCATATTCCATAGTACAAACACTTGTACACTGGACACTTAAATGTCCAAACGTAACGTGACACCACCAATACATTGATCTAATTGGTTGATTTAATTGAGAGACTTGTTAAAATTTAAAAGTTGATGAAAACTCTTTTCCTTATAAAAATTACTCTTTCATTATTTTTCTTCCATCCATTTTGAAGTTTTCCAAGAAGAATATATCCAAAAGGACAAAAAATATTCACTAACTAAACAAACTTTTGTTTCTTATTCGTACGTGTGTAAATTAAGAAAACCAAGATTAGCCAAACGTAAAGTAGTAAATGAAGCTAGAGTTTGGTAAAGTTTGTACAACATTGTACATGATATTTGATACACGAACTATCTTTCCACAAGTTTTGGCCGTAGTACTATAAAAATGAGTGGTAGTATATATCCTGTCGGCCGGATACCAAGTTCAAGATTCATATACTAGATTAGGTCCATATAGTTAAAGACGATATTTGCTGTCTTTTTTTTTTTTTTTCCCGTTTTTGGTTATGTTAGCTGTACGATTGACTAATTCATCATTTATATCCTCTTCCTTGAAAAACACCAAGAATTTTTTTAAAAAAGGAGATGCTATTAAATGTTTTGTAATTTGGACGGCCTTAGTCGATTTCCAGGTTCCAGCATTCGTTATTGTTTATATTTAAAAAGTTTTGTAATGTCCTCAACTGAATAAAATTATTTTATGGACTTATAAATCAACGAATGGATCAGATTTTCAAATTCTGAATTTAAAACCAAACTTAGAACTTTGTTATTACATAATCTTAAACTCTTTCTGACAATAACATTCGCAGTCATTCACTTAAATTGTTTTAACACTTGACGAGATTAAACTGAAGTCTTAAGAAACTACCTTTCTTTTTCCACAAAAAATATGAAAAATATATATTTCTAGACAAAAGAGTAGAAACAAAAATTCGTGCAATTAATGGATAATTTTACAGACACAAGTCACAACGACTACCATACACAACCAGAAACCAATAATTGTTATGGTAAATTGGTAAGTAAATTGTTTTCGTGTTCTCCAATTAGTGCCTCCAAGTATGTATAAGGAAGTTTTTCTTTGTGGGCGGACTCAACTAGGAGGTACTACTAATCTGCTACTAATAAGAATTGAATAATTCAATAAGTCAGAAAAAGGTCAAAAAAGTCAAGACCAATGCACAAAACTCCAATATACCCGCGTAAGCAAACTATTCACCAAGTCAACTTGAACCTCAACTTCTGGCACTATAAATTAACGTACGCACACAACTCATAATGCCACACAAAAGCATTCTCACACACTAGAGAAAATTTCATACATATCCAGATTCAGCATTCAAATCAATCAAAATGGATGCTAAGCAAAACATTGAGAGGTTTTCAAGCTGCAGGGGAGTGGCATTTGAGATCAAACCTCATGCTGATCCATTTGCCATTTCAAACCAAAACAATGGAAGCAAGAAGTATTGGTTCCCATGGGAAAGAACCTATTCCAAAATCAACCCATCATCTGGTCGTATTGGAAGCCTCATCAGTAGAACCACAAGCAAAGCCAGCAGCCATTTCTGCGACCTCGATTTTGAAGACGCCGAAGATGATGATGAAGGTGATGCTTTAGCTAACATTGAAGAAGGTCTTGATGATGAAAAGTTGGACCATCCATCTGGAGCAGCTTCTGAATTGCCACCACTTCCAAAACTCCCCAGCAAACGTGACAAAAAACCACAACCGCCACATTCCAGGCTCTCTGTTATCCTGCTCGATCAAGGCTTGTTCACCGTTTACAAACGTCTTTTCGTCGTTTGTATTACGCTGAATATCACTGCTTTGATTCTCGCAGCCACTGGAAACTTCCCTTATGCGAGAAATCGTGCTGCTTTGTTCTCAATTGCAAACATTTTTGCCTTGACAATCTGTCGAAGTGAGGCTTTCCTTCGGGTTGTCTTTTGGCTTGTGGTGAAATTATTAGGCCATTCTTTTGTGCCTATTCCGATCAAAACCATGACCACATCCCTTTTGCAATCACTTGGAGGGATTCATAGTGGTTGTGGGATTTCCTCAATTGCATGGCTCATTTATGCATTGATTCTCACATTGAAAAACAGAGAAAACTCCTCCCCTGAAATCATCGGCGTAGCGGCCGCCATTCTTTCCCTTATTTGTCTATCATCTTTGGCCGCATTTCCTCTTGTTCGCCACCTTCATCACAACGTGTTTGAAAGAACACATCGTTTTGCTGGATGGTCAGCTCTGGCTCTCCTCTGGGCTTTTGTCCTCCTTACCATTTCCTATGATCCTGCATCAAAATCCTATAGTAACGATTTCGGTAACAGATTGGTCAAACAACAAGAGTTTTGGTTCACTTTGGGTATCTCTTTGTTGATTATCATTCCCTGGGTGACCGTCCGACGTGTTCCGGTCAAAATGTCATCACCTTCCGGCCACGCATCGATCATCAAATTCGAAGGCGGTGTGAAACCCGGAATCCTCGGGAGAATCAGCCCGTCACCCTTCTCGGAATGGCACGCGTTCGGGATCATCTCCGACGGGAAAAGCGAGCACATGATGCTCGCCGGCGCCGTCGGTGACTTCACCAAGACACTGGTGGCGAAACCACCGACTCATTTATGGGTCAGGCAAGTGCACTTCGCCGGGCTCCCTTATTTAGTCAACATGTACGACCGGGTTTTGGTCGTCGCAACCGGGTCGGGCATCTGTGTCTTCTTGTCATTCTTATTACAGCCTTGTAAAGCCGACGTTTGTGTACTTTGGGTCACAAAAGGAGTTGAGCAGAATTTCGGGAAAGAAATTAAAGGATGGATGTCGGATAATGGACAATATGACGGTAAAAGGAAGAAGGTGATTGTGCATGATACGGCGGTTTTAGGTCGTCCAAATGTGTCGCAAATGAGTGTGGATACGGCTAAGGAATGGGGTGCACAAGTTGTGATTGTGACTAGCAATCCAGAAGGAAGTAGGGATGTGGTCAATGCTTGCAAAGCTTCTGGAGTTCCTGCCTTTGGTCCAATTTGGGATTCATGACGATTGAATTTGATTGAAACGGGACTGATTGGGTCAATTCGTTCATTCTTGCATTATCCGAATTTTCCAAATGGGAAATTGTTCATTATTTTTGTTGACTTTTATTTGTGGCCAAGTTTGATAGTTGATACTACTAATAATAGGGTGTATATCACTGTAATGATTTTCTTATATATTCGAATTGGTCAATACTATTGAATATTTTAAATTTGCTTGTTCATTTTATTGTCGGGATTTGATTTGGTTTTTCCCCTTCAATATTATCGATCTCAAATTCTTTATGATGGTTTCTTTTTTTTCTTTTTTTTGAAAGATCTATATTAATATTCTACCACAATTATTTAAATATTTTTTAACACGAAACAAATTCACGATGTTCAAATAGAGATCATTAATTTAAGTAGCGTATGAACTCGTTTGAGATTATTATTATTATTTTTTACATAGTGGGAAGCTTCAAGTTTAGTTTACAAAATAATTCTTGGAGAATGAATGGTTTGAAATGATCTGAAACTGATAAAAGACACTTCGACAAGTGCTTGTTTGAACGTCAGCTTACATTTTATTTCGCCACTTAAAAATAGAAAGTGTTTCAAGTTGAAAACTAAATGAGAAATAAAAATGTTGTTTGAATGATATTTTGAGTAAAAAGTTATTTGGATGTTGGCTTTGAAAAAAAATATTTTGAATTATATTTTGAAATATCAAGTATGAATCATCACTAAACAATTAAACACTGTCAATTATAGTCACTTTAAAAAAATATTTGCAAAAACAATCACTAAATAATAGAATCCTGTCAAATTTGTCACTGAACTATTGTTAGTTCTAAAATGGTCATTACACTAACAAAAAGTGTTTCAAGTTAGAATTTAAAATGTAAATCAGAAAGTTGGTTGGATGATGTTTTTTTTTACATTGTGTTTTGTGTTTAAGAGGTAAAATGAGTTAAAATGTAAACTGATTGGACAAACAAATAAACATACTAGTAATTATAACTAAATTCCACTGGGCTTTTTTTCCGCTTTTGGTATGATATTCTTTTGGGCTTTTTTAATCAGATTTGTGTGAAGTCCAAAAGGTTGAATGCAGCCTTGTGGCCGTATTTTCTTAGGGCTTTTAAATATTTACGCTGAAAGTCCATTATTGTTCTGCTCGCTTACAAAATTTTCCCCTTTGTTATTCCGTCAAAATCCCGTTTCTAGCCACCGGCCGCGCACTTTAAAAGGCTACAATTGCCCACGACTTCCATCGAGTCCATAACCCGCCGCTACTTTTCTGTTATTGAAACCCTCGATTGAAGTAGTTGTGCCCTAATCTTTCTGTTTTACCCTTTCTCTAGTAATGGCGAAACCCCGTGAAATTGCAAAAAATCCACCTCCGGCTGAGTCTGAGGAAGAATCGGAAGAAGATGAATCAGAATCTGAACCGGAAGATACCGACACCGGCAAAAACACGCCGGCTCCATCAGCGGCTAAGATGCCTGAAACCTCGAAGACAACTTCTGCTAGTGGTGGTTCTGCTTCGGATGCCTCGGATGAGGATGAGGAGGAGGAGGAGGAGGAGGAGGAGTCCGGTTCCGGATCGGGCTCGGAATCCGACGAAGGCTCTCCTCCTAGAAAAAATGATTTTTCTATAAAGCCTGTAGCTAAACCGGTGACCCAGCAAGAGAAACCGGCGGGTAAGAAAGCTTTGCCCAAGCCCAATGCTCCTGGTCCTACATCGCCAACCCGGAACGTCAGCACAAGTGTTGGAGCTAAGCGGGCGGCAGCTGAAGCAGCGACTCCGGCTGGGAATGCTGATTCGAAGAGGGCCAAGAAGAAAACAGCCGACGATTCGGACAAGAAACTTGCTGGGACCCCTAGCGCTGATGAAGAGAAGAAGCTGTTTGCGAGGGTGTTTAGCGAGGAGGATGAAATCGTGCTGCTGAATGGAATTTATGATTTCATTGGTAAGACTAAGTCCGATCCATTTGCTAATTTTAATGAGTTCCATGATTTCATTACTAAAAAAATCGGTGACAAGTCAAAGGCTCAAGTTCTCGATAAAATGAAGAGGCTGAAGAAGAGGTATGAAAACAATGCCGAGAAGTTGCTGAAGAGTGGTAAGGAAAGGACTGTTTCCAACCATGAGCGAAATATGTATGACGTGTGCAAGAAGATATGGGGTAGGGAAGGTATTGCTGGGAACGGGGAGACTTCTGATAGCATCCCTAAAGTACCTAAGAAAAGTGTTGAAGCTAATGGGAGTGAGGTGAAGAAGAGTCGAAGTGAATTGAAGATGGGGAAGAGCTTGGCGAATGTGAATAGAGAGAGAAGTTTTAGTTTTGCTCCTGATATTGGTAGGCTCAATGCTGAATGGCATTTGTATGAAGGTACAGACTTAATGGAGGAAAACGACAGAATTGAAATGGAGAATAAGTGGAAGGCTTTTAGGTTATTGGAGGCGGATCTTCTCATCAAGAAGTATGGTTTGATGCTTCAACATATGGAGAAGGTTCACAAGGGTTTAAAGTCACGCAGGAGTTGAGGTATTTTTGGAAGGGTGGTTAAAAGATCAGTGGTATCCAAATAGCGCAAATGCAGCGCCTTAGTTTGATAATTAGGTTGAATTAGATTTTGCACTTTAATTTTTATGTACGTCAGTTTCTAGTTCTTTGGTCATGTTTTTAAACTTGGATGGAATGTTGAATTGAAATCGAATGGTTTTACTTACATTGCTTGGGTATGTTCTCATTCATGTTGGAGAGTGGTGGTGGACAGGGAGTGTGCTATTATTGTTTGCTGGAACTTGATGTGTTTAATTTCTGATTTGGGTGGATTGCTGTTAGATTTATGTCGCTGAGCTGTATTGATGAATCTAGTTGTGTACCTTGCTGGTATCTTGGTTTTGTCGTGCTTTCATTACAATCATGGTTTTGTTGTGCTTTCGTCACATTCTTTCCTGCTTTTAGCTAAATTTGGTAAATGGCATTGAATGTATATTATTTTTCTGTGGTGATTTCATTACGTATGCTACTGCTTTGCCTAAGTCCACCGAATTTCTCTTGTCCGGCCGTGTCCCAGCAGTTGAACCGGACCTTTCCGCGGCTGGTGTCGAAGTCCAATGGATGGACTTCCGCACCAATCGTAGGTAGCCAGGAATTTGATAGACTTGCTTGGTACTTTAGTTTGAATTTTGAGTAGGCATAATTTTGTGTGATTATAATGCTTTCATGTCCTTTCAATGAGTACGCATAGAACAGGTATACTTCATGAAGTGTTCAGTTGTGTATGATCTTTCTATTTTCGTCTCAGAAGTGTTTTATATCAGTTGTGTATGCTCGCACCATTTTTCGCATCAGAACCATGTAATATCAAACTGACTTCTTGCTGTTTGTAGTTGATTGGTTACTCTGTCTCCATAGGGATGAAAATGAAAATAATGCTGGAGCTGGTTGTCTTTTGATCTATTACAATAGTTACAAAAAGTGACCGTGTTAATTTCAATCGGTCCCTAAGCTTTCCTTGTGTGGCTGACAGCCATTCTAATTACGTTGTATCCATCTTTGAAAGAATAATGACAGTCATTGAGACTTGTTTGTGTGTAGTGAGTTATTGACACCGTTCTAGTTGATGAGCTGGTAGTTAAGTGGATTCTCTTTTTTCTAATATAATTCTCCCAGATTAGCCTGTGATGCAGAAGCATATATTAGCTTATTTAACTGTTGTGGACTCTTGGTCACATAGCCGATGTGAGCATTTTCGTGCATCATAGTACACCTTTCATTATGTCTGCGATTTTGTGTTGATGTTTCTACAGTCTGCTATGTTCCTGAATTTGCTCCAATTATTTTATTTTATTTTTTTTGAAATTGATATACGAAGATGGTTCACTATTTAGTTGTGTTAATACTCCACCAGCAGTAAATGTCAAAGTAGGGAAACTTTAGATCACATTTATTGATAATATGCATACATTTTTTTCATCAAATAATCGTGATTGAAAAAGAATGACAATTGATCAAATAGATTAGGCTTTGTCAAACTCCCTTACAAAAATAGTGGAAAAAAGGAACATGACTTGGATGCGGAGGTTAGTTTTAGACGGCAGATGTGGGAGCTGCTGGAGTTGCAGGTTTGAGCTTGTTCTCTTCCTGAATGGTTGCAGTTGCAGTTATGTAATAAGCAACAGCAAAGAGTCCATGAAGGAAACAGAGAACACCACCAATTGACAGCAGACGGTTATGTGAGATCCCACAATTTTGCCTCGACCTAGTATTTGACAGCGCCCCGCTGATGAGCATGAAGAAAGCTACAGCCATGATGATCCTGTCATAACCATTCATAAGTTAAATTTTGTAAGTACTCAGACTTCAAAAAGGTATCTCAGTGCACTATGAAGATGATGGATCGAGGATCTTGGGTTTTCCTACCATGACAGAACGTGAGAAGCCGCAGCTAGCTGCTTGTTGTTCGTGGACTGATCCAGCTCCTGCTTGGACCAGATGCAAACGCAACCGCTGAGCATAATGGAAACCATGTGAGCCAGGGAAAGAAGTAATGCTGCAATCAACCCCAGTTTAAAAGCTTGGTAGCTAGGATCTCTGCATTCAAATACCCACACCCGAAGATTACTCGCCTACAGAAGAACAAAACAGAAGTCATATGTGAGATTGAAGATAACATCACGGCCCCCTTGATTTGGGAAAACTTGAATTCACTGACCTTATTCTCGGCAATCTCAGCTTGAATGCCGAGAATACCAGCGGTAACATCCATGATTATAATCACAAGGCAAACCAAGTAACGAATAGCGTTCTTATCTGCCATCTTTCAAAATAGCCTTGTTCGACAGAACACAAGAAGAAATGGCTTTGTTGTTGGTGATGAGAAAAACAGGACAGAGAGTCTGTACAATAATATAGGGCAGCAAGAGGAAAGAAGAAACAAGGAGTTGCCCAAGGTTACAGCTAATCAATTCAAAATCTACGTCTTCGTGCATGAAGAAGAATCTGAGAATAAAGTGGAAGGAAGGAAGGAAGAGTGCTGGGAGGAGCTTAATAATTCATATATATGAGAGGATGACAAGCTGGATTGATCAGTTCAAAGTCTCAAAAAAGGCTTCCTTTGTCTTCAAAGTGCAAACTTTAGTTTTTGCTTTTGATTCACTTTTTGTGCATTTGCTTCCTGTGCTCTTGGATTCGTTTCATAGGTGACAAGCCAAGCAGGGCACCATTCCAGGGGTACATTGATCCATATTCCATAGTTTTCACTTCTTCTTCAGCTTCACTGAACTCTGTTGGTCCCTCAATTTGGGAATTAAGTCTACTCCCGCGCCCCCGGTTGTTCCTTAAAGTAGTCAACATTATTGAATAGAAGAAATCAGTTAACGTATATAATTCTCGTGAGTACAATCTCAAACAGTTATAGATTCAAAATCAATGAACCCGGTTATCTTTTACCCCCTCCATTCATAAATAGATGTCGTTGGAGTAAAAATCAAATATTGCAAAATAGATGTCGTTCTCACAAATCGAGGTATATTTTGTCAATTTTTTCTAATATTATTCTTACATTGGAAATTGTAGTGATGTTTAATGTAGAATTGTATTAGAACTGAATTTTATTGGGACTACAATTAAATTAAGAATAAATGAGGGTATTATTAGTATTTTAACAAGATAATTATTGGTTTCTTAAACTTTGTGAAAACATCTATTTGTGAATGGAGGTAGTACTAAAAAGTTGCAATGGAATGAATTTATCCACTCTATATATTTTTGTTTCTACTTTTTTCTTTCCCCCACAAAAGTTAAGAACACGGACAGCTCATTTTTGGTGTAGAAATACTGTACTATTTCACAACAAAATGTATACATTCGTATTCGGTATTCCCATCTCTGCAAATATTCAGTCACATTACAGTATATACCCATTTTCACTTTATTAGTTAAAAAATATTAACTAATAACTTTAAATTAATTCTCTCGTTAAAGCATTTTGATGAGCGGAATGGAAGGACGAAAAGTTTGGATTTGAAGATTTTATTTGGATTTTGAACTGGGCCGACATTTGTGGTCTGCTATGAAATAAAATGGGTTGGGCTATGGTTTTCGAGGAATTTGAAGGGAAAAATACACGTGTAAATTCAAAAAAATGTTGGTTCTAGAAAGCGCTCCAGAATTCTTTGCAAATGAAACCTTCATCAAATGAACGATCATATTAATATCGTAATCCTCTGATAATCTGATTTCACAAGCTCTTCTTCTCCATAACCCATTAATCTTGAGGACTGAAAAAATGTCAGCTTATACATGGAAGAGCTTCTTTGAGGACGAGGATCGCCCTGAGAAGCCCAGAACTTCTGGTGTTACTGAAGTCAGGGGACCCCAGTATTCCCTTCTCTCCCAAAATCTCCTTGAGGTAACTTTTTTCTCTCAATTTTTGACTGAATGTTGCGCATGTGCTTCGATTCTTTGCTTATTATTGCAACATGCTGAAGTCTTTTTTCTTATTCTCATTTTTCTTTTTCTACTTTTGGGATTTTGATCTTTCTTTATGGAATTTGGGGTGTGCCTTTTCTGATGCTTTGGAATGGAATAAATTTGTTTTTAACCCGTGTCAAGTTTTCTTGCTGTTTTGCTTTAGTTCCTTTGGTATTATTATTATTATTATTGTTTTATTTTGAAAGAATGGGGTTCCACGTTACTCTTTTCCTTGATCATTAAATTGTGTTGGCTGAAGCTGATTCCAGCGATGGTTTAGGTTGAACTGTAGTCAGGTGATAAAGAACTCTGCTCAAGAATCTAAGCTGGTTCTTTACTAAATTAATTCAATTTAGAGGGAACAGGACCAGTTCATTAGAGGAAAAAGAAAAACCCCAACGTTTTACCATTTCTCCCTACGGAAAAGAAATGGAGAAATTAAATGGGAAAAAAAAAAGAAGAAGAAGAAGAAAAGAGCAAGATTCTACAGTTAATTGGCTTGAGGTATATTAACAATTACCATAAAACCATGTCATATTTCATAGCAGGGTTGAAACACTGGATTAAAGTTATTAGTATTTGTGAATTGTGATTGTTTCTGGTAGGGATTAATCTCATTCTTCCCTCTTAATGTGACTCGCATTGCTGGCCGATCCCAGAGGAAAACCACCTCTATCCTATGTACAAAAAGGGCTATACCTCAGAAGAAGCTTTTCTATGTGCGTTGTGTGGGATAAAGATTTGGCCATTAAGGCCTGATGTTTTTAACTTATAGAAGAACAAAGATAAGAGTGATAGGCCATAGCATTCTGTGCTTGAAAATGTTCCTGACAGAGGATTTCTAGTTGTATTTAATGCGTAGGTTTTCTGCTGATAGTTGTTAATTAGGAAAAATAGTTATTAGTGCCCATACACACGTTTATTTGCTGAGTTTCAAAACTTGATTCCACTGACTTTATTTCATTTTTGTATCTTGATTCAAAATTCTGCTTGTTTTGTTCATTTTTTTATTTTTTGCTTGTCAAGCTGTGATAATTGTTTCCAGTTAATAGCTTGTAGGTTATAACCGACGAATAGATGAAGAGAAGCTTTCAAATTTTCTACCTAAAGAAATGACCTTCCAGAACTTAAATTCCATGTGTCTGTTGTCGATATTAGAATCAGAGTTTTCACGTTTTTTTCTTCTTCTTGTGGAGCCTAAATTGTCATTATTTGATTATATTTCACATTTCATAGTCTAGGAGAAGGTATATTTTCCTGTTATTCTAACTGGAGATTGTGTTTCACAGGACATCTTTGAGTCTATGGGCCAATTTGTTGATGGGTTAAAGTTTGCTGGAGGATCTGACAGCCTATTATCAAAAGCGTATATCAAGGAAATAACTAACATAGCCCACCAGCACAATGTCTATGTTAGCACTGGTGACTGGTCGGAACATTTACTTCGGAAAGGACCATCTGCATTTAAGGATCACATTGAGGTATGCTACTGGTCTTAGTTTTCCCAGTCTCAAAGTTTCAGTTATCCAGGGCCTGTATCTTATGGTTATTGATGATGTTTAGGAATGCAAGCAGCTTGGATTTGACACCATAGAGCTCGATGTTGGATCAATGGAATTTCCTGAAGAAACTCTACTGAGATATGTGCGGCTTATAAAAAACTGTGGACTTCGGGCCAAGCCTCAATTTGCTGTCAAGTTTAATAAGTCTGATATACCTGTCAATCAAGATAGAGCATTTGGGGCATATGTGGTACCTAAACCTCGAAGCTCTGGTAAGCTTACAATTTAATGCTTATCGTTTTAGTGTAAAGTTAAGGGGCTTGATTTGGTATTTTTCTTTAATGCTCCAGTGATCTTGAAGCCTATTGTATTCATCATTTTGATGTCAGTTAAAATAGGGTTTTGATGTAACTGTAAAAATACATCCATTATGCTTCATCATAAGGTCTGAGATTCAGGTTTAGGCATTCTTGGTATGCGTTTGGCTGACTCCAATGAAAGGGCAAGAAAGTAACAGCGTGCAGAGCTAAAAGACTTGTGTAATGATTATCAGACTAAACTTTCTGTCTTGCGTGTTGGAAGTCTTTGCAACGTCTATTCCCAGGTGGACGGGGTTAAATTATTTGTCAAGCAGTCTTATGTCCTTTTGTTAGAATTGTCCACCCAAAACATCAGACTCTAGGTACAGGTTTGGAAACTTTAGGGTTAGAGAGGAATTGGAACGCGGTCAATCTCCACAATGTGCTTACTTTATGTTAAATATTCTGGAGAAATCTGAACAAACAAGATATTTTACCATAAAATGCCATGTGTCAAGATGATACCAGAAACCCAGAAGGTTGAAGAGAACATAGCTTTTTTTTCCCCATATGTAGGATCAGAACATTGTTTGGAAGTTCCTTTTCCCCATGTTTAACTGCTGGATCATTACTCTGCAGAATTTGTCGAGGATGTGAATTTTTTGATTAGAAGAGCTGAAAGGTGCTTAGAAGCCGGAGCTGACATGATAATGATCGATGCTGCTGATGTCTGCCAACAGGCTGATTCTGTTCGGGCTGATATCATCGCTAAGATAATTGGACGTCTGGGGATTGAGAAAACCATGTTTGAAGCGTCAAATCCCCAGACATCCGAGTGGTTCGTTAAGCAATATGGTCCAAAGGTAAGCGACTATTCCATTCATCTTGTCACTTGAAAATGTTGTGTACTTGGATTTGAAAAGCTGAAAATCTGCTAACATGTTTGTAGGTAAACCTTTTTGTGGATCACTCGCAACTCATGGATTTGGAATGTCTTCGAGGTCGCAACCTGGGGAAGAATCACAGATCTGTACTTGGTTCGTCTTACTTCTTATTTTAATGAAATTGGAATACTGGTGTAGATTCATGTATTGGGAACTACCAAGTACCGCAATGTTGTAGTGCCACCAAGCCTCCCTATTTCTATTTTGTACCAAACTCTTATGTGAATTTGTTCTTGTGTGATGGTGGTATTCGAACTTCATTTATTTTGTGCTTGCTGTCTTGGTTGCGACATATGTGATCACTATACTATTTTCTGTTTTTTTTTTTTTTTAATTTTCTCGGTGTAATTTGTCTTGGTTCATTGCCTAAATACATAACTAAGACAGCTATTTATGTGATTTTGATACGTGAACTGAATCCATGTATGTCTTGGGTGCTAGCAGAGTGGTTTGTGGTCCAGTTCTTATAGCTCAATATGATTTGCAGGAAAAGATTCCTTGAATTATGTTCATTGCAATAGCTTGAGTGTCCATCAGCAAATAAATACCCACCTTTTCCTTCCCAATAATATAGTCCAATTTGATAATTAAATTAGTAACAAGGGAGTGGACTACTTAGGGAAGGAGGGAGTTGCTTGCACGTAAATAAGAGTGGAAACATGGTACCACAACATAAAAGCGTAAGTAGTTTCCATGGGACATGATCTGTCAGTAGAAACTTTGGTTGTAAGGTTAGATGGGAGTCAAATCTGGACATGCAGCAGAATCATCTGGTTTGATAGATTGTTCTTTGAAAGTGGGTTCTAATTTCTTTCCAATGATCCTCAACTGTTGCCCTGGTCCTAAAACAAGATCCATAGCAGCAAGCCAGTTGAAGATCTTAATGGTGAATCAATGTCCAGCGAACTGGTCCAGTATGCAGCACAGATTGATTAAGTAGGACAAATCTAAACATTGATTATAGGGGAGTAAATTGCTGCAGTGTTTATTGCCTTAACTTGAGGTCGATGATTAAGTTTCTGCTGTTGTAGAAACAAAAAAGGGGTCAAATAGGGCTCATAAAAGTTTGCTTTGAATACGAATATGCTCAATTTTTATTGTTATTTCTTTGGCATCGGATTATGTAGGGCTTGCCATCTTGGATCTCGGTGACTCAATGTAGTAACGAAAGAAGTCAAGTTTGTTTTGCATTAATAAGGAAACACCGATCCTGATGTACCTAAAAGCTTGACCATGTTTGCCTTGACCTTTCTCTGTTTTGGGGTGTATGTGGACATGTGCCACTTAAATGTAGTCTGTGACCACAGGGTTGCTGGGATTGATTCAATGCGTCATAAATGATCTCCTTTGATTCAATTATTTTTTGGATCTTGAAAACTTATATGACCCTTGTTTTTATAGTACAATGCCAGACCCAAGAATTTTAAGAATATGTAAGTTTTTAAGGATTTAATTTCCACTACTAGCATAAGCTTGCTTTGGAACTCCTAATCCTTTGTTGGACTGATACTCCTATAGCCATCCAGTCCTTTCTGGTGTTTATAGTCGAAATTTTGAGGTTTAAGTTTAACTTTGATTAGGAAAAGCATATGTAATTCGCTGTCGAAGATTAGAGTTTTATCCGTTAAACTAAAACAATCATTTCTTCTAGCAGGGAGACGTATAATTGTCTCTCTGAAGAATCAAAATGCCTCTTTTTCCTTGTTACGAGTTTTGGCAATTTAATTTCTTGCAATTCTCTTCAGAAAGATTTTCTCCATTTAAAATTTTTATTTTTAATTAATTCATTCAAATTATAGTAAATTAAAATTTTAAATTAGACAATCATTCTTGGGACAGAAAGAGTACTCCTGTACTCCTAAATTAGCCATTATACCCAACTTGGTGTATTGGCGATTGGAAAACAATGCGAATATTAAATTTTCACTATTAATAAGGATGGTAGCCCATTTATCAAATCTTGCTTAAATACAAATCATTCAATTCTTTAATGTGGGGATTAATGAGGTCTTTTTCTTGTTCATTACCATGTCTTAAATGACCTTATTAAACTTGAACATTCCTTATTCAATGACACCCCAAGAAATAAAAAGCTCGTCTGTTAGATTGTTAATGCTTAAAGATGCAAAATATTTCCTGATTTGTTAAATGTCTGAAACCATCAAGCAATCCTCAAATTTGATAATGGCTAAAGTAACAATGATTTTTTCTTTGGGCATTAAAATATATAAGGGGAATTCTCTAAAGATGATGCATAAAAATCTAGGATATATTATCCAGAGGCCACGTTGTTCATGATTATCTTACGTTGTAACTTCTTTTTCATTACGATAATCAAGCTCTAACCAGACCAATGATATCATGAAATGCGCGCATCGCTTTCAATGCCTCAGTGTGCTGAAAAAAATGCATCTTAAGAAAACTGCCATAAATTGAAATCTTACCACTCATGAAGTACAAGTATGGTTTCTCCAAGAGAGGAAAAACAGAACCCAGAGTACCCATTATGGTGACTTCTGATTCTAGCAAAACTGGTAGGGCGACATGGATATAAAGATCTTGATTTCATTGTTTCATTGTGGTTTGTTCCCTGGAGTAAAATCGTTCTAACGGGGCGATTTTGACCGAAAATTTCGAGGAGGAAAAAATGCCAGCTGTTTGGTTTGCTTTGAAGAAATCATTGCATTGCAAAACAGAAACAGCGGATGTTCATGATCCAAATGCAAGAGCAAAACATTTGGCTAGAATTCTTACCAAGAAAAGCAGCCGGTCCGGGTGTTCGAGGTCGATTGCGAATCTGAGAGATGTTATTCATGGAAGCAAGAGGCATATGGAGAAGCCTTCAATTTGCAGTCCAAGATCCATTGGGAGCAGTGAACTTCTGAACCCAATAACACATGAAGTTGTCCTCAGTAATTCCACCTGTGAACTGAAAATTACTGGGAATGGATTCTCAGATGGAAATTGTACCGATATTGGTAGCGAAATGGGGTCTTCTACCTATCTTGGAACCCTTAAACCTGGTACACCAGGCCCTGGGGGCCATCAGATGGTGCCATATTATAAGGCTAAAGGTTTGGCTAGTCCTTTAAGGAAGTCATCCGGTAACATTTCCAGGAGGAGGAATTCTGCATTTGGTGGTTTGGGCCTAAAGCCAGCTTCAAGATATTCGTATGGAGCAGATTTTCATGGTTTAACACCTTTAATCTGCCATAAATGCGGGGATCAATTTGTAAAGCTAGATGCAGCTGAAGAACATCACCTCTCTAAACATGCCGGTGAGTGATAATTTTATTTCTTTTGAAAAAGAAAATCCTTCAATGCTATGTATATCTGTGATTTTACTCAGAAATTCAGTAAAGGGCTGTTAAAAAAATCAATCAGGTTGTAGAAGAAGTTCATAAAAAATCTGAAAAAGCTTCCATGTAGGATTACCGGAAACTTCACTTAACTGTAGAGGATTGAACTAGTTGTGTTGTGTATCTTGAAACCATGTAAATCCTGTCTTCTTAATTTAATTCGTTGATTGATCATCTATTTTGCTGCGATTTTCTTGAGAGTGTACGTTAACCTCTGCACTGTGGCATTAACACTAGTATTAAGCAACCAGATTTTTTGTGCAGTTACTGAACTTATAGAAGGAGATTCTTCAAGGAAAATTGTGGAGATAATTTGCCGGACAAGCTGGACAAAATCTGATAACAACAGTACTTCAGGAGGCATAGAACGGATTCTCAAAGTCCACAACATGCAAAAGACAATAGCTCAGTTTGAGGATTACAGGGAAGTAGTGAAGATAAAAGCCAACAAACTACCCAAGAAACACCCTAGGTGTATGGCTGATGGCAACGAGTTGCTAAGATTCCACGGTACAACTGTTGAATGCGCTCTTGGCACGAGCGGATCGAGCTTATGTACATCGAAGAATTGCACAGTTTGTCGAATCTTAAGACATGGTTTTTCGACAATTAGGGAACTAAACAAGGACAGTGTGGGCGTCTTCACAGCTTCTACAAGTAGTAGAGCATTCGAGTCAATTCAAGTTCCGAGTATTGGTAATCCTTCCCTGAAGAAGGCTTTAATAGTTTGCAGAGTTATAGCTGGCAGGGTACATAGGCCTCTGGAAAATGTTCAAGAATTGGTTGGTCAATCAGGATTTGATTCCTTGGCTGGGAAAGTTGGTGTATATTCAAATATTGAGGAACTGTTTTTACTCAATGCCAAAGCCCTTCTTCCTTGCTTTGTAGTAATTTGCAAGTCATAGGAGTAAGAGGATCATTGTTTTGTAAAACTTTGTGTAAGATTTTCAAACTGTATTGTATTAAATTATATAACTGGAGAAAAATGGGTTTCTGATTTTTAAAGGCCTTTGTCATTTTTTGTGTCAATATAATGGACTATCAAGTGTACTTGTTTTTTCACAAGCTTTGCCCTCTTATATTATTATTCTTTGGTTGGGCAGAAATAGTAACCTCGTGAATTTTCTGGTTCTCTGACCCTAAATTTGGGATTTTAATTTAGAGAGAAAAAAAAAAGAAAAAAGAAAGCCAGGCAAGGAGTAATCTCTTCGATGAAAAACGAACATTACAAGTTAACCTGTACATTCTTTGTTTTAAAACATAATTCAATAAAGGGGGTTAATTTTTTTGGAATAAAAAAAGTTTTAAAAAAAAATTCTAAAGCAATATATCATTTCGTGATAAAAGAGTTTCTTTTGTATCGTTCCGTAACAAAAAGAGGCACGTATAACTCCACCAGCAACCAGAATGGAACCATAAAGCTCTTATCGATGCAAAAGTTGCATTTTCTTTGTATAAGTTGAAGTTACATCTAGAATTCAACAACTAAGTTCTTGAGTCGCTTTGTATGTCGGGTTATCAAAGTCGACATACTGTTTTTTAACATTGTTTTTTGTTTTTTGAAATTTCAAATATAATTGTAATTGATTCAATTTGTTAATCAACCCTGTTGCTGGAAAACAAAAATTTCAATGTACTACAAATTAAATATAATGCAACGTTATACAGCGAGAATGAAATTCTAAAGTCCGTCAGAAAAATAATAATAATAATTAACAACTAATATAACCAAGAATGAACTCCCAAATCTTAATTTTTATTAAAAACAACACCACAACAACAGCAATAATAACAACAAGCCCAACTATTACTTCCTCTATCCCGAAAGCCCAACTATTACTTTCTCTATCCCGAAATCATTATCTAGTTTAAATTTTCAGTCTAATACATATTGAACTAAAAATAAAAATCTAAATTGAATTGTAATTTTGAGATAGAGAGAATATTAAAACTCTTAAAAACATATAAATTTGGCGAAACAACTCCCAAGTTGACTCAACTTTGTGCTAATAAATTCGAAAACACTCATGCACGGGATGGAAGGGCCTCCCTCGTTGGAACCGTCAGAAGACGACTCCACCAACTCCCAAAAAGTCCCAGAATCTCGAACACTTTGATCCTTGACCTTCACGTATTTCATTTTTGGTACTCTATCTTTATAATCATCGGACACGATATCCTTGAATGCCACTAAATTCGAACTGCTCGATTCTTCTTGATTATTTTCCATCTTCAAGATCCAACAAGCTGCTAAACAGTTTTGTTTGACTACAAATCTAATGAGTCGACAGACAAATTAAATTAAGTAGCTACAATATATAAGTATGTTTAGGTGTTAGAGCATTTCGAATTTCAGTAGGAATAGAATGACTCGTACTGAAAGCAACAATTTTATAGCCGCATCTTATTTCCGACGCCTTGTAGGATTTGGCGTGGATTTATAATTGTTATTAAAACGAATGATTTTACTTACTTTTTTTCGTGCCCTATATAATTTGGATTATCATTATCATTTATCAACCATCCAAAATTCACGACGAAAAAATAATTGCGTAGATACGGTGCTGTTACTAAATCCGCGAGGACCCCACCTTTCCTTCTCTCTCTCTTTTTCTTTTTTTTTTTTTTTTTTTTTCTTTTTTGGTTTACAACCTCTCTGTTTTTCTAAGTGTTTTTATAATGATAAATAATTTACGTAACTTTTCAAAAGATATATATATATATATAGGTAATAATTATATATTTTTTGGAAAAAGTATTAAATGTCATTACTTGCAGAGAATTTTTCAACATACAATATGTCATTTTATTTTATTTTATTTTTTGATACAATAGAGAAGGCAAAATGTATAGTAAATTAAAATACAACCCGAATCCTAGTGAATAAGAAGCAGACACCAATCCGGACCGAGGATTTTACAAGTACCTCAAACTAACCCATACACATCTCAGATATTCCTTGGCAATAATTTTTTGGTTGTGTTAAATTAGTCAGCCCTTCAAACTTCTGATAACAAACATCGTTTAAGGCTTTACCGTGTTACCAATGTCTTGGATAAATTGTAGACACTAGAAATACTACTAGATACTATTAGATGAAAAAAAATTATTAAAGCTGCTAAAAGAATTTAACCTAACATACTTTTTGTTGGACTAGATGGTACGCAAGAAAAACAAACAAAATTACAAGTCTCATGGGGCTGACTTTTTTAGTTTGGTGAAGAAAGGGAATTCACGTGCTAACGAGTTAGTTTGTTGACATAAACTACTGAACCCACATCAGGTCGTTGATTATCTCCGTATTTAAACACCTTCTTGTGGGAAATTATTCATCAAAGCAAATATTAAGTCAAGATTATTATTTTCTCTTCGAATTGAAAGATAGATTTGGATAATTATATTCTTAAGGCCCGATCGACGATGGCTGCCGGAGGAATTGAATCAAAAAACAAAGCCTGTGTAATTGGAGGCGCAGGTTTCCTGGCATCTTTCCTCGTCAAGCTACTTCTCCAGAAAGGCTACTCGGTGAATGCCACCGTTCGGGATCCTGGTTATTCTACTTTTTTCATTTTATTCACCTTAATTGATCTTGTTAAATAAAGTAATGCATAAATCTCAATTTTACATGTAGAAGAGTATGCATATCAATCCCGTAGATCGAAAGTTGATAATTTATTCTTATACTGATTGACGTGACACACAAAAAAAAATCTTATATATATATATATATATATACTACTATAATGTGGTAACTAATACGTCATTTGTATGGCAATAATCACAGGCCATCATTTGAGACTTTAGATTTTAGAATTCTTCATTGTGGATGAAGGGTTTCCCATACTTATAACTAATTTGAATACAAAATCAAATACTGAAAGTTCTCTTATTTCACTATCTTTGTCCTTCTTCTTTTTTTTTTTTTCTCCCCGGCTTGCAGACAACCAGGAAAAGATTGCTCACCTCTTGGCGTTGAAGAGTTTAGGAGACTTGAAAATTTTCAGAGCAGATTTAACTGAAGAATCCAGTTTTGATGCCCCTGTATCTGGTTGCGACCTTGTCTTTCACGTTGCTGCTCCAGTCAACTTTGCGTCAAAAGATCCAGAGGTGAGAATAGGCCGTAAAATCGCATCAGCCAGCACCACTAAACCTTGAACAAAATCTTGATATTTTTTTTAATGTCAAATTTGTACAGAATGACATGATCAAACCTGCGATTCAAGGAGTTACAAACGTTCTAAGAACATGTGCAAAATCAGGAACGGTGAAAAGGGTAGTTTTGACCTCCTCAGCTGCAGCTGTAACCATCAATAATGACCTGAGTGATACAGGACTTGTGATGGATGAAGGAAATTGGTCCAATGTGGATTTTCTTTATTCTGCAAAACCCCCTACTTGGGTACCTGATTTTTCTAAACCTTTTGCCCCATGAATTCTATTACTATCCTTACAAAATCTACATTTTTCAACTTTTTTTTATCTGCTTTCCAGGGATATCCTGTTTCTAAGACATTAGCTGAAAGGGCGGCCTGGAAAATCGCTGAAGAAAATAACATTGATCTCATCACTATAATTCCAAGCCTAATTTCTGGTCCTTCTCTTACCCCTCAAATTCCATCAAGTGGCAACCTTGCCATGTCATTGATCACAGGTGAACCATTTAATCGAATATTACATCGACGTTTTTTTTTTTGCACGCCCGATTGTAGCCGAACCAAATGTGCCTTGTACTTTACAGGAAATGAGTTTTTGATTAATGGCTTGAAAGGGATGCAAATGCTGTCAGGATCAATCTCCATTACACATGTAGAAGATGTGTGTGAAGCCCACATATTCTTAGCTGAAAAAAAATCGGCTTCCGGTCGCTACATTTGCTGCGCTGTCAATACCTCTGTTCTTGAACTCGCAACGTTCTTGAGGGAAAGATATCTTGAGGAGCACCGGATTCCTGTCGAGTAAATTGCTCTTTCAATTTCTGGAAAAAAAAATGTCATTTAACCACTCAACTGATCTTGGGATTGATAATTTTTGATTATTTCGTTTTCTCTTGTTGTATCAATGCAGTATTGGAGGGTTACCATCAAAGGCAAAGTTGATGATTTCCTCGGATAAACTTATGAAAGAAGGCTTCAAATTCAAGCATGGACTTGAAGACATTTATGATGATACTTTAGCATATTTCAAGGCTAAAGGAGTGTTGCACCAGTAACTCTTGTTGAGCTTCTTTCCTCTCCACCAAATTAGGGCATTCCTGTCCGGTTGTAAAATTAGGATGCCTGCAGATCTCTCCAAGAATGAATAAAATTAAACTTTCAAGATGCCTGTATGGACGTCAACGCAGTGACGGAACGAGAATTTTCAAATCGCGGGGTCGAAAATAGGATTATTCAACCGTCACCGGAGGGTCGAACTGAAAAAATTTCAAATAATGGACACCCTACTAAGAAAAAATTTAGCCAAATCCGGCCAACCGGGGGGTCGATCGACCACCCTAACCCCCCCTAAATCCGTCACTGCGTCAACGTGGAATCTTATAATATTATTATTATTATTATTATATTATTATTATTATTATTATTATTATTATTGATGTTTAGATTAGTTTAATCGTATTATATATTGTAGCTTTGATCACATGCTTAGGGTATGATGTTCATAGTCAATGGTGCGCACTCAGAAATAATTACTTTTTTTGTCTTAAAATTATTATCATTGTGGAAATGTTTACTTTAATACAAAGATTATATATTAAAAAAATAAACTAATTAATCATTTCGAGATGGAAATATCAATTAGACTATATTGTGCAATATGATTTGTGTATGTTGCTTTTGTTGTCGGCCTGCAGCTGGTCGCAATGTATTAAGATGCCAAGATTGTTTGGGCACGAATCAAATAGTCCAATTTATATTTTTCATAGGTTAATGATATTGTCAGCACACAAATTATGATCCAGAGCAAAAAATTGACACATACCCCATATTACCCTTAGTTAGTCAAATTAACCGAACATCTGCGGCTGTCCTTCTGACGTAACTTCGACAAAGGAGATTTAATCATTTTTCTGTTTCTCTCAGCTTTTTGAACTTCTCCCACAAATTGAAAAGTAGATATAAACGACATATCTCTAGAATCTATAACTAATTTTTATTCTGAGGCAAGTAACCCCGGAAGTTTATAATCTATTTTGACGATTGAGTGCCTATTATTTCTTAAGCGGGATAGGCCTCCGTTCTTAAAGAATGATGAAGATTGAACTTTCTTAGAATAGTTTGGCTGAAGTCCCACTGAAAATCCCAAGCACTAAATAAATTTTTGAAGGAATTAAAAAAATCAAAATCCAGGCCTTTGATTAAACTTTAGAAGCCCCAAGCATAGTAAGAAACCATCAATCATAGATTTGACAACGGATTGGTTTCACTGAACCATCCACATATCCATGCCAACAATAATAAAAGCAAAGCCAAATCAAAATAACAAATTAAGGAGAGAACTACATCCCAGAGAGAGACAAATTCACTCCTAAGTTTCAATCAAACTCAGTTTAAGGCTATTGGAATTTGGAATAGTTATGTTGTCCTTGAGAGTTTGTAAGTTCTTCCTAAGGTACAGGGGTACACCAATTCTCATAATAAAATGAGTTTTTTCATGGAATTTGTCTTCCTTGGCAACTAATTAAGAAAATATATAGATTGGAGTATTGTAGTATAGGCATTTAGGGTACTAGAACTATTAAATTTCTCGCAACCATGTTAAAGACACCATCAGTGAAACAGTCAATTTTAAACACACACGCGCGCGCGCACACACACATATATATATTAAAAAAATTATGAGATAAAAAATGCCTCTAATAGATTTTATTTCAATCGCGACACATAGCAGGCCTGAAGAAGATACAGAGAAGGATGGAGCCGTGAAGGGAGATGTGAAGAGAAGAGCAAGAAGAGAGGAAAATAAATGTTTGACTGATTAAGGATATTATGGGAAATTTTTAACTTTTTTGCTCTGGATCCTAATTTGTCCTCTGACAATATCATTGGCCTTTTTCTTATTTAATATGTATACATCAACCAGCATCAGCAGAGGACACAAACTTATTTTAAAGTTAGCTGTCTCTTTCTATGATTTAATCAAAATAGTGATTTAATCAAAATAGTGAAACAAACTCTATTATTTATTTTTTTTTTTATCTCATGGATTAGTATGAAATGAGGATATGTTTAGTTTAAGAACCAATTTGGTCAGAATAATTGTCGAAAGATGCTTTCTTGGATTTTAGGTAAGTTTCCAAAACCATCGCCATCCAGCACAAGCTTTTTTATTTATGTAGTCATATATATATATATATATATATATATATATATATATATTAACAAGGAATTGTTATATGTAACCTGTAACTCCACCCTCCACTAATCATCATCCTCCTCGTGTCTGATTCAGAAATGGATGTTCACTTTGACTTTCCAGTTCTCTTTCTCTTTTCCTTGTTCACGTTTTTGCTTCTAAATCTGGTTATGAAATCCAGGGCAAAACCAGTTTCTAAACTTCCTCCAGGGCCCTGGAAACTGCCTTTCATAGGAAACATCCATCAGCTTGTTGGCTCTCTGCCTCACCATGTCCTTACGGATTTGGCAAAGAAATATGGTCCCCTGATGATGCTTCAAGTTGGTGAAGTTCCTACACTTGTTGTTTCCTCTCCCGAAATGGCGAAAGAAATAATGAAAACACACGATGTCGAATTCGCCTTCAGGCCTCAAATTATTGCGACGGAGATCATGTCTTACAATTCCACCAACATTATATTTGCTCCATATGGAGAATACTGGAGGAATCTCAGAAAAATCTGCACATTTGAGCTTTTGAGTACTCGTCGAGTTCAGTCCTTTCGATATTTAAGGGAAGAAGAAACAGCGAATTTGATCAGATGGGTAGCTAGAAATGCAGGATCGCCAATAAATCTCACGGAGAAGTTTTTCTCATCTATGTACACAATCACTTCCAGGGCGGCTTTTGGGAAGAAAAGCCCGGAACAAGAAGCATTCATTTCGATTGTTGAGGAAGGCATTAGAATGTCAGCAGTATTTAACATTGCTGATATATATCCTTCCATAAAGTTTTTGCACTTGATCAGTGGTGTTAAATCCAAATTACAGATTTTTCACCACAAAGCTGATAGTATTCTTGAGACCATAATTTCCGAGCACAGGGAACAGCAAGCTGCGAAAATTGATGAGCCTGAAGCCACAGCAGATCTTGTAGATGTTCTATTAAAGTATCACGACGGCGAAAAGCTTGATTTTTCCCTCACGTCTGACAATATTAAAGCAGTTCTACTGGTTAGTGTTTCAATCTTGTTTAAGTATCTTAACCAAATTACTAACTTTTGCAATCTTAGCATTTTGTTTATGAATAACACCCGTACCATTTTATTTTACATTGATTATCTCATGATTTAGTATAAAAAAAGTATGGAAACTAGGGATCTTAATGAATTGATTTTTTATTTTTATTTTTTTTGTCTTTTTTTAGGACATTTTTGGAGCAGGAAGTGAGACAGCGGCAACGACGGTGGATTGGGCAATGGTTGAGATGATCAGGAATCCAGGAATCATGAACAGGGCTCAAGAAGAAGTAAGAGAAGTTTTCATAAGTAGTAAAGGATATGTTGATGAAGATGGCCTGGAAAAGCTTAAGTATCTGAAAGTAATCGTAAAAGAGACATTGAGGCTACATCCACCGGCGCCTCTGTTACTTCCAAGACAGAACATTGAGAAAACAGAGGTCAACGGATACGAAATACCAGCCAAAACTAGAGTTTTAGTGAATGCTTGGGCAATTAACCGGGACCCTTTGTACTGGAAAGATCCCGAATCGTTTCAGCCCGAAAGATTTCTGGATAGCACAATTGATTACAAGGGAAAGCATTTTGAATACATCCCGTTTGGTGCAGGAAGAAGAATTTGTCCAGGGATGCAGTATGGTATTGCGAATGTTGAGCTTCCACTAGCCAAGTTGTTGTACCATTTTGATTGGATTTTGCCGATGAAATTGGAGGAGTTAAGCATGGAAGAAGTCTCTGGGATTGCAGTAAGAAGGAAAGATGATCTTTGTTTAATTCCCGTGATCATCAATCCCCTTCCTGTTGAATAATGTTCCATCTGCACTAGAAATCTACAAGAAGAAAAGCTTCAATGTTGGTTTGGCATATATTTCTGGAATTTGTTTAGGTCTGGGTTCAAATGATTCCATAATAGGATTATTATTACCTATAAAAACACCAACATATATAATAATAGTATTTTCTTACAATCTGTGGGGGGATAACATACTTGGTTAAATAACAAATGAGGCAAAAATAATTCCTTCCTTGCGACAAAATTGTGTGCGAATTTCGTATTTTGAAAATCTAAAAGCAAAAGAGATGCGATAAAAAATGCTTCCTAAAGGATTTCTCCCTAATTAAGCGCCAAAGGTTCAATCAAGTTTGAGAGAACTCGTTTCTTGTCTTGTTCACCAAATCCATCTCCATGTTGGTAAATGAAATGTGCTACCCTGGCTTGGTTGACCAAGTAGTGTCTGATTGTATCATTCACAAAGGGAGTACTGATTCTCTTGCTGATGCAAATGCCATTGATTTGCTTCCATATCTTTAATATTATGCTTTTGATGTGTTCCCTTGCAATCTCTTCCGACACGTTTGATTCTCTCATATAACACAAAATCGACGAGGGAGCATCTCCTCTCTCTAGTTCTGCCTACAAATCGAGTTCTTCGATTAGAGTCTTATTTTTTGAACTAAAACAATACAACAAACAAATATTTTCTTTTCTTTTTTTTTTCTGGACTGAAGAAGTATATATATAAGAAAAACTTAGGAGTAGTTACCGTGGAAGTTCCTTCATCGTTGCATAAACGTATGATTAAGGAGATATAGTATATTAGGTCCTTATTTTCATGGAGAATTTCGGAGACGGTTTTTGATGAGGTTGGATTTTCTACTCCCAATATCACAAGCAGAGAAAGCAAAGGGCCGGATGAAGATACGGACGCATTGCCCAAATATTCTTGAAGAGAAGGTGTGTAACCCTTCTGATCCCACTTTGCTTCCATGAGTAAGGATTTGCAAAATTCTCCCCACTATATAAGAAGAAGTAAAAAAATGATAAGAAAAAACAATAAAATATGTAGATCGTTTTGAAACTGATTTTGAAGGGAATAAAAAACGCAAAAAAAAATAAAAAATGGATTCCTATGCATGGGACATACAGCTTTTTGTAAATGTGGCATCACCGAGTTCCAACCTTTCTCCACCTCAATTTCAGCTGATATTTCCACTGTTGTGTCGTACAATGTCCACAAACTTTTTTGCATGCACTGTGGTAGGTTTTTGGCTTCCTCGAACGTCCACCTATGTAAAACAATGTTACAATCAAGGATTTAAGATATTGCTAGTTGACTTTTTATGTTCCTTCTGTTTAAAATGAGTTTAGAATATATATATATATATTTTTAAATTTGGAACGAAAAGAGTATCATTAAACTTATGAGAAGTAAAAAAAAATTTAATTTTTTTGAAAATCATACTTTTTTTTGTTCCAAAAAAGAATATTAGAATTTTGAGATTTTTATTAAATATATATTCAAAATTCATTATCAACTATTTTCTAGGGGCTGATGGAGTAACAAATTAAATCTAACACACTTGAAGATGGAAGATCATGGGCTAACCTATCTACAGCAGTGGTGAAGCATTCCAAGTCCTCCAAACATCCATAAATATCATAAACATCATCAATTATCAAGACCAACTTAATGAATTTGCTAAGCCATTTTCTTAAACTCCCATGTTCATTCTCATATGCAACTCCCCCTGCATATAGGAAACTTTCCACCATTCTATCCCTTGAAAAACTCAGCTTTTCACTTATTCCAAGATCCATCCACCACCTACACAATGAAATGCATTAACTAATTGAATGGGATTGTGAAGGTGGAGAAAATAATTTCGAAAAGAAATATAAAAAAAAAAAAAAAGGAAGCGAAAGATACCTTAATATATCCTTGAGATCATTCTGATGCGTGGATTGAACTATGTTGAAGTTAAGTCTAGCCAACTCCAACAACTTGGAGTTTGTCTTGCCTTCTGTTTCGTGTGTACGAATATGTTTCTTGATATTGTACCATTGGGCTGTCCAGTGCAAAGGAAGAACATTCTTACCATCCATTGCTTCCTTGAAATAATCGTCGGAATTTGCATCAAAATATATGTGGAGCGACTGCATGGCAAACAATCTTGCCTCGTCTAATATATTATCCCCTTCAAAACCTAGATTCGAGGCTTCAAAAAGCTCCACCAGTGCTTCTTTTTTGAATGCTGTAGTACTCGGCTTGAATTTTCCGTTTTCATTCACGAATCCTCCAAACATTTCTACGGACACAATTCGAAACAACAAAATAGTAAATACTAATTAACATAACTATTTATTCGTTCTAATTAAAAAAAAAAAGAAGGGAAAAATCTATTTCTTGTTTTCTCTGTTGAAAAAGAAGATTTGCAGCTGTATATACCTTGTGAAGCTTCATAACCAAATTGCCTAAGAAGCCTAAAGCAAAGTGATGTTGCATAAAGATCATTTTCCATGGTTGAGGTGGAATTATCTTGGGAGCTGATTAATATGGCGTTGAGGCATTGTTTGATTTCCTCTTGAAAATAACTTGCCAACCCCAATTTTGATATGCTGTCCACAAGGCTTAGTATGGACAGTGTATCTTTGACATTGACAAACAAGGATTTCAATTCTTGATTTAGCTTCTGGGCTGATATCTTTGTGTACCCTTCTTCCTGCAAAGAATTTAATTGCAGGTAAATGAGTTCAAAATCTCTCTTTCGTAACTAATAAGAAAAATAAATAATTAACTATTCCCTTCGTCCCATAACTATAGTTCTATTTAGATTACTGGAAATTTAACTCACAGAGAATTTGCAATCGAGAGATTGTAGGAAGAGGCCATATTTCCATATATTTGGCTTGTAGTTTGCTGTTCGTTTTTCAACACTTGGATCGGCTGTAGCAACATTGATAGTGTCTGATGAGAAATACTGTATTTGAGCCACCATTTTGTCAAAAGGGAAAGTTGGAGGGAAAAAAAAAGAAGATGCTCAAAATTGAGTAATAATACTAGTGTTTTAGATAACCCGTAAGATGTGAACAACTGACAACCATAAGATGAAATGCCTAATTTAGTAATATGTTGGACAGTTGGAGGAGCAACTTGTTATATATATAGGCATCCTGGAGCGTGTAAGACGTTGACAGTTATGCTTTTCTCAATGTCACCCCGTTCATTATCTTCGTCAAACTTTATCTATGATTGACTCTCGTGTCATGTTTTAAAAGTGATATAATCATTTTCATTATTTGGATAATCATAATAATGTATTTTATGAGACGAAAAAATTATATCACCATTATTTTGAGACAGAAAGTATATTAGGTTTGACTATCTTGGGTTTTTTTTAATATGTCAATTTAAGTCTAATGCATAGATGTATCATTAATTTTATTTAATACTAGCAGTTGGAGCACGACTTGGTCGGAGCTAGTCTCCTATATATTCACAAAATATTTTAATTTAAGTTCGTAGGCTCTTGCCTCCTAGTATTGTACCAAAAAATAAAAATAAAAATAAGTGATCGTTTTTTGTCTAACTTTAGATATCAAGCAAAATTTAAATATAGTTATAGATGGGAATTTAAATAGACAATATTTGGAGTTTCTTAAAAAAAAAAAGTGATCATTTTTTCGAGAAATGATACGTACATATCAAACATTGGAAAAGTCTTACAAAAAGTGTTCGACAAAACGTTTTTGTACTCCCTAGCCATAGATTCAAAAGTCTTACGGAAAGTGTTACAGTCCGCACATGATGAAGACCATGATGATTGACATTATATATGTCCTCCGTCTCCATGGCATTGGGAAGCAAAAGAAACACGAACCACGTTTTCAATGTGATAAAGTTGAGTTGCTCTGGGGAAAAGATAAAAATGAAAAACTGTGTGACGTTTTTTGTTGTGTCGTTATTCCTTCAGGCTTCAGTAGTATTTTAATTTTTCGAGTTTGTTTTTTTTTAGGTATTTAACACAAATGAAACACGTAAGTAACCTGAAAAAAAAAAAGAAAGAGTATTAGTGTGTATATTTTTCATTAAAATATTTATTTTTGTTTGATTTCCTTTTCTTTTTATCAATAGCCAAAATGCAGTAATAAAGAATCCATAAGACCATAATACATAATCTTTATGTCCGAAAATGTTTTATATCTTTTTATTTTTGTATCGTTTTTGTAGGTTGACTCTGGTCAAAGGGGAATAATGGTATGTAACTGATCTTTTCGTGTCTTTTGGGTGTAAAATATAAATATCACCACAATTCTGGGGGATAAATTTTAGGTTGCCTCCACCAAATTTTCTAGATTCAGACTCAATAATGTTAACAATTTTTTTGGAACAAAAAGAGTACTCCTTCCGTCCCATAATTATTGTCCTGTTTGAGTTTTCATTTTTAGTTTAAATTGTGCTAAAAGTGAAATCTCAAATTGGAATTTTGGGACAAAGGGAATATAACATAATTTTATAGGCGGAAAAAATACAGATCCTCTCCCTTACTAAATGAGAGTCAGAAATGACGATCTCCATTTGCTTTTGTATACTGACATAGGATTTATTCCAGGCATACAGAAATTTTGTCACAGAATTCCATTAAGATTTAAGACCAGTCAACAATAACAATTTGCAAAAATTGCAAACACGTACCTCGTAAATCACGACCTGCTTTCTCGATTTAATTTATTTTTTGTTATCATTGTACTATAATTTTTTTCGTCGGCTACCTTATTATGTGGATCTTGCTGCAATTTACTTTTAATAAATCCGGAATTTCATCATTCCCAAGTCCTAGTCAAGCACTAAACAGCAGTAAATTGTGAAAAGCAGTCCGCAAAAGGGTCACAGATTCTGCAGTTTCTTTCTTCAATCCTTATGGAGTTGATATCTATCATCTGTGCATCATTTGTTTTCCTCCTTGTGCTAATCAAGTTTCTGAAAAAACCCACCAATGACTCAACTTTGAAATTGCCCCCGGGGCCAAAGCCGCTTCCCATTATAGGAAACATGCATAATCTCTTTGGCCCTTTAACACATCACATCTTAAGAGATTTGGCCCAAAAATATGGCCCTTTGATGCATTTAAGGTTAGGAGAAGTTACCACATTGGTTGTAACCTCACCTGAACTTGCAGAAGAGTTCATGAAAACACATGATGTGATTTTTGCCAATAGGCCTCAGCTTCTGTGTCCCAGGGTTTTCAATTATAACTGCACTGACATTGCATTCGCCCCTTTCGGCGAATACTGGAGACAGTTGCGTAAAATCTGTGTTGTCGAACTTCTGAGTTCGAAGCGTGTTCAGAGTTTTAGGCCAATTAGAGAAGAGGAAGTCCATAAATTTGTCGCAGGTGTTTACACAAATCAGGGATCAGTTGTTAATCTTAGCAAAATGCTCTGTTCATATACATATGGCCTAACGGCGAGAGTCGCTTTTGGGAAGAAGAACAAGTATCAAGAAGAATTCATCTCGCTTATCATGGAAGCTACTAAGATGACCTCTGGATTTGCTATAGCAGATGTGTATCCTTCCGTGAAGTGGATTCAGGTGATCAGTGAAATGAGTCCTAAAATCAAAAGGATGCAGAAGCTTCTTGACAAAACTTTTGATAACATTTTCGGTGAGCATAAGGAGAGAAGCAGGCAAGAAACAGTGGAAGGAGAAGCAAAAGAAGATCTAGTTGATGTTCTTCTGAGTGTTCAAAAGTCTGGTGATTTTGGAACCCCTTTGAGCTTAGACAACATAAAAGCAGTCCTTATGGTGAGTGGCATTACATTTATTGACTCATTTGTATATGCTTTAGCTTATATGCGTTGATCAAATTCACTGATATTTAAGTTTATGAAATTACTAGGACATTTTCAGTGCTGGAAGTGAGACATCATCTACAGCACTCGAATGGATTCTGTCAGAATTGGTTAAGAGCCCGGAGGCGATGAAAAAGACGCAAGAAGAGGTGAGAACAGCGTTTGATGCAAGTGGTAATGTTCATGAATCAGGCATTCATGAGTTGAAGTACTTACAGTTAGTGATCAGAGAAACTCTGAGACTGCACCCGCCTGTTCCGATGTTGATTCCAAGAGAAAGCAGTGAGCAATGCAGCATTAATGGATTCGATATACCAGAGAAAACCCGAGTAATCATTAATGCTTGGGCGATTAGCAGGGATCCTGAGCACTGGACTTACCCGGACAAATTCATTCCTGAGAGGTTTTTGGACTCCGCGATCGACTACCAAGGGAAGGATTTCAAATATATTCCATTTGGAGGTGGAAGAAGGATATGTCCTGGAATTTCACTTGGTCTTGCATCCATTGAGCTGCTGCTTGCACAGTTGCTCTTCCATTTTGACTGGAAACTTCCAGGTGGACAGAAGAACGAGGAACTAGACATGACTGAGGTTTTTGGATTGTCTGTGAGACGCAAAAATGGTCTGAACTTGATTCCAGTTCCATATGATAATAGTTCTTTAGTTAAGCAAGGTCAGGTTAGTTAGCTTTCTCGTTTCAATTGAACTGACCTGTATACGCATACTTGCATGAATTATAGGAGACTCTGTGTTCAATCATTAAACTATGACATGATTTCTCTTCTTTATCTTGTCAATTTCTAAGTTTTGATATTCGTAATCATATCATATCATAATTTTGATTTGTTTCTATATGAATGAGGTTTAGAGTTCTAAAAGTAGATTTCATTTCTGAATTCATTTCTTTCCCTAGAGACCAAAGCTTGATAACAAACTCACAAGTGAACCTTCATTTGGCCTAAAGGTATTAGGAACTAGAAATCCAATGTTCATGGAACCATGTAAGTTTGCAAAATCCAAACAGATTAAGAAATACAAAGCATCAAACAAAATGTTTAGCTTAAAGAGGGGGTATAAGATGTTGATAACATGGAAAAGGGAGCAAGGATCATTTAGCAGGAAGAGGATTCCTGATAACAGGAATTACATATAAATCTTCTTTCCGCCTTGCTGTGATCCCATAGGCTTCTTGCAGGCTCAACTCTTCCAACTTCATTGGCAAAATCCAATCAAAATGATACAGAAACTTTGCCAATGGGAGCTCAACATTTGCAACGCCAAACTGCATCCCTGGACATATTCTTCTCCCGGCGCCAAACGGGATATACTCAAAGTGTGTTCCCTTGTAGTCAGTTGAGCTATCCAGGAATCTTTCTGGCTGAAATGTTTCTGGATTTTTCCAATATGTAGGGTATCGATTAATTGCCCATGCATTCACTAAAACTCTTGTTTTGGCTTGTATCTCATATCCATTAACCTCACATTTCTCGTTGTTCTGTCTTGGAATTAATAAAGGCACTGCTGGATGTAGCCTCAATGTCTCCTTTATGACTGATTTTAGATACTTGAGTTCATCAAGACCATCTTCATCAACATATCCTTTACTCCTGAAAACTTCCCTTACTTCTTCTTGTGCCCTGTTCATGATTGCTGGATTCCTGATCATCTCAGCCATTGCCCAATCTACCGTCGAGGCTGATGTTTCGCTTCCAGCAGTAAAAATGTCCTAATCAACAATAGATTATTTAGTCAATTGTGTTCTGTTAGTTTCGTAACTATGTTAACAGGGATCCAAGTGAAAATTAAAGTTAAAGAAATGGTGTACATTTGGTAACTCCTTGAACAGAATGGTGAGTATAACTAACCAGGAGTACGGCTTTAAGGTTGTCCGAAGTGAGGGAGAATTCAAGCTTTTCATCCTCCTGATGATACTTCAATAGAACATCTACAAGATCTGATGTAGCTTCAGGCTCATCAGTTTTCGGGGCTTGGTTTACCCTGTGCTCATCGATAATGGTATCGAAAATACTGTCTACTTTTTCGCGAAACCTCTCTAGTTTGGTCTTCACGCCACTGATCAAATGAAACAACTTTATGGAAGGGAAAATATCAGCAATGTTGAAGGCTGCTGCTATTTTAATACCTTCCCCGACTATAGAAACCAAAGCATCTTGTTCTGCGGATTTCTTTCCAAAAGCAGCCCTGGAAGTGATGGTGTAATTGGATGAGAAAATTCTCTGTGAGATTTATCAGCGATCCTGAATTACTTGCTATCCATCTGACCAAATTGGAAGTTTCTTCCTCCCTTAAATATCGAAAGCATTGAACACGGCGAGAACTTAAAAGCTCAATTGTGCAGATTTTGCGAAGCTGCCTCCAATACTCTCCATATGGAGCAAACGCAATGCTGGTGGAGTTGTAAGACAGGATTTCTGTAGCAATAATTTGTGGCCTAGAGGCAAATTCGACATCGTGTGTTTTCATTATTTCTTTCGCCATTTCTGGAGAGGAAACAACAAGGGTGGGAATTTCACCAACCTGAAGCAGCATCAGGGGTCCATACTTCTTGGACAAGTCTCTTAGGACACGGTGTGGCAGAGAGCCAATAAGCTGATGAATGTTTCCTATGAAGGGTAGTTTCCATGGCCCTGGAGGAAGTTTTGAAACTGGTTTGGCCCTGGATTTAGTTACCAGCTTTAGAAGCAAAAGCATGAATAAGGAAGTGAGAAAGAGAACTGAGAAATTAAAATGAGTATCCATTTCTGAATCAGAACCAGAGGAATGATGAATGATGGAGCAAAGTTTCTTGGTTGGATATTATTATTATATATAAAAGCTTCACATGGTTAGCAATGGTTCTGGACATTTGCTAAACCTCAAGATTCCATTGATGACTATTGGTATCTTTATTTGATCTACATTATTCATGCCTGCAGATTTAATTTAATGCAGGGACTTCATCTTTAACGAACCCTTTAACTTGTTCTATGACATCACGTAATCATTAAATCATAGTACTCATTTTAAGTACCTCGTACGTACTTAAATTATATAGCTTTACATCAATGTAAGAAATAAATTCTCCATTCGTCTATTCATAAAATATGTAGCTTTACATCAATGTAAATCACTGTATATATAGTTTTTGATCAGTTTATAATCATTTATTATAGATCTATTCCTTTAACTTGCCCCTATTTGATCTACCTCAAGAGAAATTTCGGCTCATTCCGCTCTACTGCGAGGAAAATATTACCCATTAAGATCTTTAATCTTTGCAGATCGTGAATATCCTTTTGAAAATGTTAAAATGATCTCGACCACTAAGTTTTTCAAGTTCAACTAGTCCAATCTAATATTTTAATTAAGTTTCTTATTAGTATAAATTTTGTTGTCTTTATTTTAGCCAAGGATTCCATTCATCTATGCCGGTCAATCCCCCTGTATTCCTTTCTGATTGTACTATGTTTTTGATAAAGAAATTCAATTTGGTTGATTTACATTACTTTACCATTGGTGATCAAGACATAATCAGAAAAAGTTAAAGATCTACTTCTTTTTTTTTCTTTTTTGAAGGTAAGTTAAAGATCTACTTGGAAGTTGGAAGCATTAGCAAGATCTGTGCTCCAACTTTTATGTACAAAGACGTTTTCGGAATCACTTACTCATGGAGTAGTTTAAGGTTTAAGGTTTTTTCTTCTTTTTTTTTTTTTTTAAACACCGAAACTCCACCATAAACTCACTATTTCCAGCAAACCACGCTGAGAGGTAAACCATATGTAACTATATATAAAAGTTTTAAAAAAACTGTATAAATGGCATAAATCCACGTTTGTTATAATTGTCTGCAAATCACAGCGAGAAATAAACCACTTACCGAAGAAGTTTGGGATGACAATCTATCTGGGCAATGTGTATTGTAAGTTGAGTTAATATAACCTCCTGAGAAGGCACCAATAGGTAGTGTAAAAAAATATTCGTGTCAATGGCATCTTTTGCATTAGTAAAAACTGTTTGATGGACCTTAACATATACTTGTCCCATAAAAATAAGTTTTCATTGAGTTTTCATATGTGTATTGTTTTTTTTTTTAAATATAAATTTCAGAACTTAATGTCTACTATTTTCTTAGACAAAGGAACTAGTATTTACCGAATTCTGCCTTGTGCCGATATCTTGTCCCCTTGAAGTATGAATTACAGATTTCTTTCAAATGTTGTTACTTTTGGGTATAATATAGGGAGTCAAAACTAAATGTGGAAATATTACAATTTCATTAATCTGTAGCCCCTTGGATCAAACTATAGTGCACACAAACAATCCAGAAAGATAATGGCTACTCCCCTTAGTCTTAATCTCTTTTTTAATTTTTGCAAAATAGAGTTTTATGTCTTACATTAAGCACCGGAAACAATAGTATCTGTGTATGGCGGTGCTTAGCTGATTAGGCGGAGGAACAGTAATAGATTAAACCAACATAGATAATTGTCAATAGATTTTTTCACATCCCCTAGAATATTATTCGGTTTGGATTTTGAGTTTAAATTATATTAAAAATGAAAATCCAACCATACTATAATTTTAAGATAGTGAGTATCATGATTTACAATTGGACTAAAATGTCCAAATGGTCCCTTACATTTGGGCCTACTTGAATTTACGTCCATTACATTAACATTTCAATATCATAGTCCCAAACATTATGTTTCCACACTTTTTTAGTCCAATTTTACTGTTTCCGGCCGTTGTAATACCGGAATCAGGGGTATTTTTATCTTTTAATTTAATTTAAATTTTTATTAAAATTTAAATCATTAAAAATATTTTAAATTCAAATTTTATTATTTAATTGTTAAAATATTATTTATTAATTAAAAATATTATTGTACACTTTTAAAATTTATCATTATTTTAAAATTATTTTTTTATTTACTATTTACTTTAAGTACAAAGTAAATAGTAATTATGTTGCACTTTTAATTTTGGGCCTACTGTAACTTAAAAAATTAACCAAGTTACAGTAAATAATTCAAAATTCAATTTTTTTTTTTAAAAAAAATAAAAAGCAAAACTAAGATTTTTTTTACTCTGACCGCTACAGTAAACCCTAAATGGTAATTATGTTACACTTTTAACCTTGTACCCGCTGCAACTTAAAAAATATACCGAGTTACAGTAAATAATTCAAAAAAAAAATTTAAAAAAAAAAGAAAATACAAAACCAAGATTTTTTTTTACTTTGACCGCTACAGTAAACTCTAAATGGTAATTATAATACACTTTTAATCTTAGACTCACCGTGACTTAAAAAATTTACTGAGTTACAGTAAATAATTCAAAATTTAATTTTTTTTTTTAAAAAAAAGAAAAGGCAAAACCACGATTTTTTTACTCTGACTGCTATAGTATACCTTAAATGGTAATTATGTTGCACTTTTAATCTTGGACCCACTGTAACTTAAAAAATTTATCGAGTTACAGTAAATAATTCAAAATTCAATTTTTTTTTTTTTAAAAAAAAGGAAAAATCAAGATTTTTTTTACTCTGACCGCTAACTTGTTTTTTTAACGTTGGACCTACAATAACTTAAACCAAGATTCAAAATGTTGCTTTTTCCTTTTTTTTTAAAAAAAATGAATTTTGAATTATTTACTATAACTCGGTAAATTTTTAAATTATAGTGGGTCCAAGGTTAAAAGTACAACATAATTACCATTTAGGGTTTACTATAGCGGTCAGAGTAAAAAAAAAATAGTTTGGCTTTTTCTTTTTTTTTTTAAAAAGAAATTGAATTTTGAATTATTTACTGTAACTCGGTAAAGTTTTTAAGTTACAGTGGGTCTAAGGCTAAAAGTGCAGCATAATTACTATTTACTTTGACCTAAGATAAATGATAAACGAAAAAATTAATTTTGAAAATAATGTAAATTTTAAAATTTTATAATAATATTTTTAATTAATAAATAATATTTTAATAATTAAATAATGAAATCTGACTTTTAAAATATTTTTAATGATTTAAATTTTTATTAAAATTTAAATTAAATTAAAAGACAAAAATACCCCTGATTCCGGAATGTCAACAGCCGGAAATAGTGAAATGGGACCAAAAAAGTGTAAAAACATGATGTTTGGGACTACGATATTGAAATGTTAATGTAAGGGACGTAAATTCAAGTAGGCCCAAATGTAAGGGACCATTTGGACATTTTAGTCTTTACAATTGCGTGATCAAGTGAAGAGTAATATTTTCTCTGTCCCAAAATAATTATCTATTTGATTGTTAATTTAACCAAAAATAAAAATATAAATTGAATTATTATTTCGGGATGGAAAGAGTATCTCTTGAGCAAGAACGACATATACATGTAATAAGCAAAAAGATGAATATGCAATCAAAGGATGAAAAGTAGTGTCCCGCAAATCCGCAATGCTTTGAAAGGTTTTTGAGAGATGATTCTAAAAATTAATTTAGACCACCAATTTTGTTGATAATAGTCGCTTTCATGAATTCTTTTCTTTTCTTTTTTTTCCCCCCCTGATAGATTGTACCTGGCCAAATTGGAGTATACACGTTTTTATCCTGCTTTCTACTCGATGAAAATACAACCACAGAAAAAGTTATCCCAATAATTCACATCAACTTCACTGGACCATGGTCTCTCTAATTTATGAACGTTTTGCTCATCCGGGTAAGTTAGGAGCGGTAATTATTTTACTGGGATGGTTCGTCGAGTACAAATGTGGTGGTTAAAAACCAGTACTCTCTTTATGATGTGGGGGTTTCTCAGTTGGTGAACAAGGGTAGAGTCCGGTCAAATAAATCAAAAGCAAAAATCCTTTACAGTGCGGACTATTTATTTTTACAACAAAAATCCCGTTATACACTCTCTGGGTCTCAAAAATAATTCACGTTGTATTTTGTGACAATAATTGTACTAAAAACAGTTCACGGTTTACAGTGCGGACTATTTATTTTTACATGCAGGCGAGAGCCTATATAAATGAAGGCCTCCCTCAAGCTTAATCCATCCATATTATTGCCTGCAGGCTTCAGTCTTCCCCATTCATTTTCTCCACTCCACTACATCTTCCAAAATGGCTTCGTTGGGATTGAAAAACAACCACCAAATCATAGCAATGCTATTTGTGTTGTTGCTTGTTCACGAGGCGGCAATGCTACTGACATCTTCATCAGTAGTCGCCGCCGCTTCACAAACTAAGAGTAGCAGTGAGTGTTGCGATAATTGCGAGTCTACATACATTGATTGTGACGATCTGTGCTGTGGCCCTCATCTTACCGATGAATGTCGGTGGGGATGCGTGATTGATCTAAGTATTTGTATCAATGGTTGTGGTGGTGGCTGTACCTTCCTTGCCGGAATCAAGAACCGTGCCGTGAATGTGATGGAAGGCTGTAAGCAGCAGTCGCTCCGGCCTCAAACTATCTAATTAATCTGTTCCTTCTTTAGACTGCTTTGATGCGTACATGATGCCTCGCTCTCCCAGCCTACCACTTTGTTCCTTCCTTCCTTCCTTCTTTCTGTGCATAATAACCTTAATAAAAGGCAGGCTCATGTGTATTTGTAATGTTGTTTTTTGATAAGGCAGTCTCATGTGTGTAATGTGTATTTGTATTTGTAATGTTGTGGTTTGTAATTCATCTGGTATCTATGTATGATTTTCCTTTATCTTTTACGTACAAGTAATTAAGATGGTACAGTCCGAATGCATTTTAAGAGTATCAAAATGGATTTATGTGAGATGCAATGACACGGTGACTAAAGCTAAAAGCTTAGAAAAATTTAACATTATATATGGAGGTTTTTTTTTCCCTCTATAACAAGTCACTGAGATTAATTGCATGAATCCATATGAAGCTTTTGCAATTTGACAGCTTTTTGCAACTAGTGTTTCTTGAGAAGTTTCTACTACAAACACCTCCTCCCCCATCTTCTAGTAGTTCTTAAAATTCTCTGTTAGTCTCCGCCATTAGAATCCTCTCCTGTTTTTATAGTAGATTTTCATCGATCGGTTTGATGATATTAATTTTGCCTTTTATATTCTCTAGCTACTCACCTGAATTGAAGTTATATAATTTATATTTATAACTACTCTACTGATACACAAAATTGTTTTCCCTTACCTTTTGACACACACACATCGAGGTATTATAATTCCATGAAAAGGGTTTTATTACGGTAGCCTTACTATTAAAACATGCAAATAGGGAAAGAAATGAGCGAAGAAAACTTGAGATGAGAGAACCTAATTTCAGAAATGGGTTTTGGGATTTGGTGAATAAAAAGAGATTGACAAATGTATAAGTGGAGATTGTAGAAATAATGTCATACTATTAGTAATTTCAAGAATAATTTTTTTTTAAAAAAAAAAAGAGGACAATTTCATATTCCTTCCCTTCTAAATTATTATAAATCATTGGAGATATTTCATAAAGTTTGAGAAGACATTAAATACTTCGTTAAAATACTGAATTGTCTTTATTTACTTCTAATAAAATTCTAATCTTAATACTAGTACTTAGTTCTACTATAATTTTACTTTCAATACAACTATAATATTAGAAAAAGTTGACCAAACATGCATTGTTTTATGAAAACGACATGTATTTTAAAAATTTTATTTTTTTCTTTAACGACATATATTTTAAAATGGAGGGAGTAAAAATAATACAAATCGCAACACCAAGGACTATTTTTGAGACATATGGAATACAAATTTGAATATTATTTTTGTGAGTTGATTATAGTGACGGAATCACAATCCCAAGTAGTTAATGATATTTCACAACCTATGACATTCTATTAAAAGGAGAAATGTCATATCAAAATTTTAAAATCAAATTTAATATAATTCATGTTATGGATAAGGTTAACGCGGGACTGGTGAATGGTATTTGAGAGCTGTTGAAACGAGATTGTGTTGTGGAGTTAAATCATGTCTACCGTGAAATTAATTTTGTAGCGAATTTGGCTAATTTGGTTTCTCAAGGTCGAGGATTACAATGATTTCAAAATCTACCATTGGGACCCTTACCATAGTTGAAACACAATGTAATAATGGTATCATATCCTAGGGATGGGTTAATCTAGGCATTTGTCTTTTTTTTTTTTAACAAAAAAATAGTTATGCAGCTGAAAATTTAAGTAAAATATTTCTTTTACTTCAAAATATAAGTCATTTTATAATTTCATACAAGCTAAAGATATAATCATTCAATAATTTATTCATGTGCCAAATTTTTTTATATCTCTGATTAAGTTATTTGGAATTATAAAGCAGACTTATCGAGAAGGAAATGACGTCATTTAATAAGGGATAAGTTAAAAACTACTACTACTTTTTGTTTAAAAATTCTAAAACCACTTATATTTGAAATATTTGAGATGATAGAGAGTGTTGAAAAAAAGAAAAAAGAAAAAAAAAAGAAGTAATATTTTTGGGCAGAGTATTAATTTTGGGTGTTACTTTTTTAAGCCACCAACTTTAGTTTTTTCAGCTACAAATTTTTAATTTTGACCATTTTACCCATGTCATTTTATCAAATCGAATAACTTGACTAGAAAGAAAACTAAAAAAAAATTGAAAACTAAACACAAAAAAAAAAAAAACTGACTGACCCTGCAATGAATCCGTCTCGAGTTAACTCGGGACGAGTGCACCGCCAGTCCTCTTGTTTGTCCGAACGGGTTCATTGTCCATTTCGAAGAATCCGTCCCGGGTTAACCCGGGACGAGTGGACCGCCCGTCCTCTTGTTTGCCCGAATGTGTTCATGGTCCGGGATTCCCGAGTTAACCCGGGACGAGAGGACCGCCCTTCCTCTTGTTTGCCCGAATGGGGCGGTCCACTCGTCCCGGGTTAACTCGGGACGGATTCCTCGCACGGTCTGTCTCGGTTCAGTCCGATATGGTGAACCGATCCGATCAAGCCCATTTTTTTTTTTTAATTTTTAGATTTTTTGTTATTTTTTTTTGTAATTAAAAAATGGCAATATTTGTTATTTAAAAAAAATATGAAAATTTAAAAAATATCAATTGGATTCATTGTTATTTTTTAATTTTTAGATTTTTTGTCATTTTTTGTTATTTTTTTGTAATTAAAAAATAGAAACATTTGTAGTTTTAAAAAAGTCTAAAAATTAAAAAAATATAAATAGGATTCATTGCTACTTTTTTATTTTATAGATTTTTTTTTCTAATTAGTTAATCTAGTTTTTAGGTCATTAAAATTTATTCATTAAATTTATGAATAATTTATTATATGAGTTATATTAAGTATTACCAATCTTTGTAATGCAAAAAATAGTTAATCTGTTTGCACATATTTGTCACAATCTTTGTAGTACAATTATTATTTTTGATTATAAATGTATAATTATTATTTTTAACTAAAAATTATCTTAAAAAATAATGATTGAAGCAAAATTTTATATTTTAATATCAATTAAATAAATTAACTTAACGAATAATCATAAATTTATTTTCAAGTAAAAACGAATTACTTGTTTATTTTCAAGTAAATATAAAGTTAAGAGTTTAAGCACTAAAGTATAAATATTGTTAATGATATCTAAAGTACGAAGTATTCAACATGTAGCGATACTGCGAATAAATTAGTATTAAAATAAAAATTAATAATTTGTCCGTTCTCACGTGAATCAGACCGAATGACTTGCTCGTTTCAGTTCGAGTGACTTATTCTCCAGGTCTCTCTCCCCCTCTCCCTCTTTCTCTCCTTCAATTTAATTTAGTCAAATAACATGGGCAAAATAGTTAAAATTGAAAACTAGTGGCTGAAAGAACTAAATTTAGTAGCTTCAAAAATCCTCCCCCTTAATGTTTACTATTCTCTATATCAACAACCGGCATGTTGCGACTGCCGAGGAGGCTCTCTGTAGTTAAGTTCTGCTTCAGTTTTTACACTTTCCCCTTTGACTCGAAGAACGACTCGATAAAGGTACTCAATTCTATCAGATTTCCAAGATTTCGAGTTTAAGAAGAAATGGGTTTTCTGTCTGTTGTTGATTCAATATTGATGTGGGGGTTTTTTTTTTTTTCTTTTATCTAAAATTCGTGTAACAACAGTATGCACTGATTTGATTCTCGAGAAGAATGTGTTGCAAGTTTTTTGCCATGCCTATTAGAAGGTCTGGATGTAATGGAGGTAAGTTTGTCCCGTTTCCACTTAAGTTGTCCTGAATTTTGTTTATTTTAAGTTAATTTTGGATTGGACTTGTCAAGCTTCGATAATATTGTTTGAATAAAGATTGATGCTTCGACTGATTGTTGTGGAGGATGAGGACACGATTTTTTTTAAAATGTAATTTATGTTCGAGGTCTGATTTATTTTTTGTGTCAAAGTCAGAAAATCATGAGTAAAATTGACAATGGTGTTTGTGAATCCTCATTTTTAAAGATTTGGCCTTTTGAAAACCAAGGTTAATCCTTCTAATGTTGTTGGTTGTGAATGTTATTTTTAAATAATCAAAACGAAAACGTGTGTAGGTTTGTCACTGAATTATTAATGTTTGCACTCTACAATATGTTTCTTTACTCTTAAATTTTCAGAGAAGTTGCAATGACTCGATGAGCTCCGAACCTGACTATGAAGCGCTGCACCCTTCCAACATGATACCGGCATAATCTAGTGTTAGATGTGCCGTTGCTCATCTCTTTGATTATTCCCCATTCCCCTACCACCAGTTCTGTACATGGCATTTTCTCGTGCAATTCGACCATCTGACTCCTGGGAAATCCCTGCTGAATTAGTTTGGGAAATCCTAATATGGCTTCCTGTAAAATCCCTTATGAGATTCAAGAGTGTTTGTAAGGCGTGGCTCTCGATAATTCTGGATCCTTCCTTTGCAAAAGCCCACCTCTGTGGTTTTCAAGGACTCCTCTTCATAGATCCCTATCATTCTGCACCAAAACACTGCTTTTTCTATGTGAACCTGGATAATCATCCTAGTGAACTTCGTTACCACCTAACCATGGATCATGGCGATAAGAGAATGGGTCGCACTAACGTTGTCAATGGCCTTGTATGTTTTTTCTACCACAGTTACTCATACTTATGCAACATTGCTACCCATGAAATCATGCAACTTCCGTCGTCAACCGCAGAACTTCGAGCTCGTGGTTACTATTTGGTTTTGATCCCCTCAATAAATTATACAAGTTGCTTAAAATCCCCTTTGGAGCGCGTAAATTGGGATGCGAGATTCTCTCAATTGGCCTGGATGCATCTTGGAGACCTGTCGATGCCCCATCCAAGAAAAGAATAGATGATGATAGTGTCTGTTACAATGGAGTTTTGTACTGGATGGAATCGAATATGGGTAAAGAAAAGGATTATCTTGTTGCTTTTGATCTTGCTCGTGAGAAGTTTCAGATCATTCCACCCCCGCCTGAGGAAGAAGACAGGCCGTTCTCTGTGGCAAGATTTGGACCTAGTCTTACTCTAACATCTTGGGTGGGGGATGGCTGGGATTGGCAGGGATTTATTTTTCGCTGTTGTAATGATGGTATTGGTAGAGATTCAGGGTGGGTGTGGACTAATGAGCGAGAATTCGAGGTATCCTTGATGTGCGGATATAAATCATATGATCCTTGCTTTAGGGGTGTTCTTCCCAATGGAAAGGCATTGATTACTGATCTTCGTTCTGGTAAATCCACCCCAAGTCCCTTTTACTTGTTTGATCCACCCAAAGGGGAGTATGAAATTATCCCTGTTCATGCAACAACCGAGTCAGCTTCACTGTTCAACAATGAAGCTGATGTACTCTATTATAAGGAGAATATCATCTCATTAAGGTCTTTGATCTCCAATACCTACGTTATGTTGGGTCCTTTGGTCGCCTTTCACTTGACTTATTCAAAAATCTGGATTGCACCAATATTGGGGAGGTCTTGGCGTTCAACTAGTCCCATTCTGGGACTTATTAACCATAAGAGACTCATCTGATCTATTTTAGTCCCTCATATGACGCTTAAACTTGAAAGGTTCGTCAAATGGACATTGTCCTCTAAGCTCTATATGTAGTTAGTGCTGTAGGAAACAGAGGGAGTGGTGGGGTGTCAAGCTAACAAACAATTTAACCTATTTTTAAACTAGTAGCATAGGAAAGCAAGATCGTCTCTTTAGGGAATGGTGGATTCGTTTCTTTCAAATAAGTAACCGAAAGGGGGGTTTTTAAGTTTTTAAAACTAAAATGTAGTTAAAATAAAATTCAAATGATAGTTAAAAAAAATGAAAGCAAATTATGAGAAAGTTTCTAGTCAAAAGATTTATATCCACCTTGGTCTAGACAATTGATCATAGACGCAATGATATGCTCAATCACTTATAGGCAAATTAGTTTTCGTTGTTGGAACCTTCTAACAACTCAATTTTGAACTAAGTTTAGTGATTAAGAAAAACTTCATTAAACACACTAGTCGAAATTCAATACTGGAACCTCCTAAAATTAAGAAAACGACTGCATTAAGTACAAAGACCCAATTCTGATTCTTATGAAACAAACCTTGTTTAATAAAAAATCAGATTAATTGTTCTTATAACATAACAAAATCACTTACCAAGTAATTTAATTATATTAGTTCTTTTTTAAAACAACAAACCTTGCTGCCTTATTGGTTGTTAACTATCATGAAATAATGAATGCTACCAGCTATTCATGAATCCAAAATCTTTATATCAATCATTCAAAAGAACAAGTAAATACTTACAAAGAATTGAGAAATAAAAAACATTTAGATCTCAGAACTATTAAGAATCAAGGTTCCAATATCTTTCAACTGGAAAAGTAATTTAGTTACACATAATAATGCCTTACTGAAACAAAACTATGGAGAATGTGGAAGAATAACGTCCAAAAGGGCTAGATTGGCGGCTTAAGACCACTCCAGCCTCCTCTCTTCTTCTCACGTTCAGCCCCCCTCCAAAAGACAAGAATAAAATCAATTTATATGGGAACAAGTAGGTCAGCCGCTGGAGACAAACAAAGAATCCCGAAATTTGCAATTGGGTCTCTCAAGTTTGGCAAAATTACATTTTGACCCTAAAACTTTTTTAATTTTTCATTTTAGACCCTATTTCGGTTTGGCCAAACGGGAATGCAGCATCATTGCTGGAATTTCTTCTATAAAGCTCAATTTTGGACTAAGATTTGTGTGCCCACACGAGAATGTGATGTCATTGCTCCCTTCTTGTGCTTCCTTATCAAAATACTCCAAAAATGCGTGTTTATGTAACATTTTCTCTATCTCGGCTCCAATCACTCCTAAGAACCAAAAACATCAAAATACACAACATAAGTGCACAATCTAATCCAAAATACTATACAAATACCCATAAATAACATAAAACTTCAAGACCTATCAGGGTGGTGTCTTCTGATAATGGCGTTTGTACAAGCTTTGCTTTGAAATCTGCGTAAAGCGTCTCTTGTTGCTCTTTCGGTTAATGGTAAACCATGCTAGTCTGGATTTTCTCCTTATTGTAAGAAGCTCTGCTGTCTTGGTGATGATTAGGTTAATGATCATGCCCCAAAAAGGTTCGCAAGTTCATCATAATCTATGGAATTGAAAGATTGAATTTTAGATATCTATCTTGTTTCTGTTGTTGACCATTTAAAAGGAGCAGTTAATTTAAGTATTTCTTGTTCTCATTACATTTATTTCAGCAACAGTGTGATGTCGGAATTGATGTGTTATATGAACTTGCATGTGTGCGCTCTTTAGTTGCGGCTTCTACTTTCTGCTGCATTCCATGTGTAGATGTTTCTACTTGGTGCATTTCCTGCAAGAAAAGTGCATTGCTGCAAAGCCTGCGGCCAAAAATGGCAAATGCAAGCCCGAGAACATTTACAGAGAAATGGTCATTGTTACGTACACTACGATACTGTCTTTGAAGTTCGTTTCACGCTTGTGTAGTGCACTCGGAAAATATAGTAGTGTTTGTTTCTCGATATTTATCTTCTCCTCTTGTGCCAATTGGATAAATATTTGTTGATCTACACTTAATAGTAATTATTATAAAATATATAAAGTAGAAAGGGGAAAAAAAATCCAAAATTTAGTTTGAAATTCTGCCAAATGCTTCCCTTTGGTCAATAATAACAATGCGAACTTTGTTTTCTTTATTTGGTGACGCAGTTTCAAAATTTCCTGCAATGATCAAATTTCTTACTGTTGGCAGTGGCACTTCACATTCTCTCTGATGTTAGGATTTGAGGTCGATTTTTCAGCAAAGAAAGAAAATTCACCTTCGACAATAGAAAAAATCTTTTGGCATTCAGAAACTAGATTAACAAACTTTGACATTATTTTTGGAGAAACATTATATTATTTCCGTAACAACATTATTTTCTTAATCTCCAAATAATTACTATCATGTTTATCATTTTAAAAATATAACGGCGGAGATTAATCTAACTGTGCTATGTACTTGTGCTTTTGTATAAGATAAATTTTTTTTTGGGTAACTGTACCAAAAATACTGCATTTCAGGGGTGCTTCGGACAAAAAAATTTTCAAAAAAAGTCGTGGACAAAAATAATTTTTTTTTTTTATTTTAGGTGTACAAAACTAGTTGTTTCGGATTTGTCTATCTATTTTGTAGCAAATTCGAATCTACTTAATAGAATTGATACATCACATAGTTGTAATACAAGAAGATTCGGATTTATCAGTACAAAATGGATAGATTATGATTTAGCAAATTTGAGACAACTAAATTTCTCTAAACCACTCTGGGACATATATTTTTGTCCAGATTCTTTTATTGAAAATTATTTGGATGAAAAACTCGCTTTTCTGGTAAGAAAGAAACCAATAAACACTCACATTGGTGCACCAAAACTATTCCATTTTACACTACTTCCCTCTATGCCTCTAGCCCTATATGGTATACAAAATTTGTGGCAAGCCCAGAAAGATGTATTCATATTATTTTCCTTTTACGAATTAGAATTAATTGTGTATGTTTTTGGTTGTTAATTTTTATATCAACCTTATATTTATATTTTTATTTAAGTGCAAAAATCACATCAAAATACTATGAATTATTTTCAAAATGTAAACACTTACTGAGAAAAAATGATAACAAGAAGGATCAAAACTCCAAACAAGAATCTCCAATTTACAGGCACGGACAAATGTCGGTATTTGCATGAACCTCCAATCCCAATTTGCAAATTACACCCCCAAAAAAGCAACACTAAACCAAAACAAAAAGGAAACTCCGCCAAAGCCAAAATTCCACCTGAGCCCCGACCAGAGAGTACAATCGACGCGAAACCCTCCCCTGATTCATATCCACATTCCCAATTACCCCCAACCCTTATTTCTCGACCCCTCCCGTTGTTTGTTTTCCTGTAGTAAAAAAGTAGCAGCGGGTGTGAGAGACAGAAACCCTTTTGCGTTTTGCTCGTAATCGTTTGTTGATTGGTGCCCAGGGAGGGGAGGAGGGCTATTGGGTTACTTGCTTCTTCTTGATCAGCAAGTGTTTGTGATAATGTCGAAGAAGAAAGCGACGATGACTCTCAAGGATTTCCATGGTGGTTCCATCCCTTCCGATCTCCCTCTTCCTTCTGCTCCCGGCGTGTAAGTTTCCTTCTTTTTTTTTTTTTTCTTTTCTCACTTTCCTTTCTCCCTTTTTTTCGCAGTTCATGTCAATTTACCATAGAATGGGTTGAATTTGTTCGACTTTTGATTGTTTCTCGGCTTCTTGGGATCTGGAGGATTGTGGGAGTTGAATACTTTCTTTGTCTTTTTTTTTGTTGAATTATTTTATGGCTGATTTTTTTTTTTTTTTTTTTTTGTGGGTTGGGTTAGCTTTTTTCCCCCGTCTGCTTGGAGCCATGATACAGTGTTTCTTTCTTGTATAGTGGCTCGTTTCAGTCCTGAAACGTGTATTGGTCGATCTTCTAAATAGAATAGTAGATCTAGTTGTTGTAGCGTGAGGCAAAAATGATGATTGTTTGTGTCTGGTAGTTTTGGGGTAAAGTATCGTTGTCATTTTTCCATTGTTTGTCCGTATATGAATTCTGTCTAAGAGGTGCCATTTTGGCAGGATTGTGAGGCAATCGGAGCGCAGTGGCGTTGATAGGCAAGCAGCATGGGGGAACCTGGCAGGGCGGTCTAACCACCCGCTGCGTCCAGGTTCAGCTGGTAGCAGGAATTTTGATGACAAGACACCTTTTCTGACTCATACCACCCAGATAGGCAGGAATTTTGATGAAGATGAGCGGAAACCATTGGATGGGCCATCTGGTCCTCGTCGAACTGTCAGTGATGAGAGCCTTCGCGCTCTTCCAAGTCATACCGTGGAACCTAAGATTGAAGTTTCAGCCCATGGGAGAATCACTAATCGACCATCCTCTACTCCTGGGTCGCAATACTCCACGAGTGGAGTTAGTGGTTCTTACGCAGGGAGGGTCTCTGACATGAATAATATGGGGGTCAGTTCTTTGGGTGTTGGGGCTAGCAGTGGAGCTGTACTGAGTTCAGGTGGTCATACTGTTTCTGGGCCTCATCCAAATGCATGGGGCCATAGAAAGGAGACTGCTCCTGTAAAAGAGACTGCCCCTGCTCCCTGGTCAGTTCCAGATGCAGCATTAAAGTTAGCCCATGCTAGTGCACTGGAGAAGGTTTCATCTGGTAGGTGGCTTTCTAAACAACAAAGTAATTCTCAGACAGATGTTGAACTTATTAGGCAGCCAGAGACCGAGACTGATTTTTATTCTAGGCATAAAGACATATATAGTAAGAATGATCATATTTCTAGAGATGTGGTTGGTGGGATGGAGTACAACAGTGCAGCATTGGCAAGGCAAGTAGGTAAGAGTTTGACTTTGGATGATAATGTTCGTGCTGGTGCCAAGGAAGTTCTCACATTGGATAGATCGAGGACTCCTGTGACATTGGAGGCAAATGAAAGAAATAGTGGTATTCAACAGCTTCATCTATCAGGAAAACCTGGTGGAAGTGAGTTACAATCAGCTCCACAGTCTGAGTTAACTGAGAGGCCCAAGTTGAAGTTACTTCCAAGATCCAAACCCCTAGAAAATCTGGAGCCGCCCATGGAGTACAAACCGGTAAAGTTCGATTGTGAATGTTAAAACATTGCCTTTTATATTTTTGCTAGAGTATTCTGACACTTACATGTCATTCCTCTACTTCCGAGTGTAGGTTCCTCAGCAGCCAACTGTTCCTGTTCCTGTACAAGTGGATAACCAGAGTCAATCACGTGGAGTGCCAAACCCCCCAAAAGCTGGTAATTTGGGATCTGAGGGTGCACATTCTACAGTGGAGCGTCCAAAGTTGAACCTGAAGCCTCGGTCAGAGCCTTTTGACCCAACAGAAGTGGACAATGAGAATAAGAGGTTTGCCGGATTCCTCTGCTAGCTTGATGCTGTTTTAGGGCCTGTTTGATAAATCAATTCAGCACTTAAACTTATTTATTAAGTGCTTAATTGATTAGTACTGTTTGATAACACAATATCGTAAAAACTTAATTTCTTAAGAACTTAATTAATTAAGGATTTAAATTTTAAGTGCGTTTGATAATTGCAAGTAAGATGTCTTAAAAAATTAAGTGAGTCTGAAATGCTAGTACAAATGTGAGTCTAAAAATAAGTGATAGGGCTATCACTTATATATGAAATGAATTCTTGAGACGATTTTTTTCCTATTTTTTTAATTTTATGTTTATACTTTTTGTTGTTTTATCTTGAAATATTTTTATTAATCTTGATAGTGGATTGCTAAATGCAACTTGATTTTACTTCCCTCAGCTTGTACAATAGACTAAAATACCTCTGAACTTAAACTCTCCCAAACTCTTTCACACGACCATTTTTTAGAACTTCTCACAAGTTCTTTCATTATATTGTCAAACAATCATTGATTCCCGATGGTTCGCAATGGCGGAAAATCAAATAACACGAAAAAACAAGATAAAATAAGACATTGGCTTCTTAACAGGTAATTTTTATGCGAAGTTCACTTTCTTATTGGTGCGATCGCCATTGTTATTTTCTGACGGATTTTTTTTACAAAGAGAAATAATTTGCGCGAAATTTTATGGCTTTGGCATGATTACTGATTGGTGATCGTGCTTTTTTTTATGTCATTTATGTCTTGATTTTGTTTCCTGTAGCTTGATTTTATTTTGTGCAGTTTAATTCTATTTCATGTATCTTTATTTTACTTCGTGCAACTTAATTTTACTTAGTGCAGCTTCATAGGGGTATTTTAGTCTATTGAATAAGTTGCGCGAAGTAAATTCAAGCTGCGTTTAGCAACACCCATCTTGATGTTTAGTTATAATTAAAATTTACTTAAATTATTTTTTATTTGATAAATATTTATTTGAATATAAAAATAAAATCCGAATAAATTACGTGATCAATATATATTTACCATAAACTATGATATGTTTTCATAATGATAAAGATATGACATTATTATTACCTGAAAAAATAATTACATAATAACATTTAAATATTTTTATTACATAATTTTATGATAATACTATTTTATTATCATACGTTTATATACATCAATTATTTTTTTAGATAAAATTATAGGTTGAGATACTTTAAATTCAATGTTCAGACTTCAGATTTCAGACATTTTATTCGAGCCTTCGGATTTGATTTTTATCAAACAAGACAAATTTAATCAGTTCAGTACTTATGATTCAGTCTCCAGATTTCAGACTTCATACCCAAATTGAATTTTATCAAATGGGACCTTAGTTCCTTGGTCTTATATGTAATGGCATTATTCTTGTTAGTCTAATCTATTATCTCTAAAGTATGCATGCTGGAATCTAACTCATGAATGCTGACAGTTTGATAATTGTATCATGTTGCACGTCCTTTTTCTCTTTTGGCATGACTTCTTAATAGTTGGTGGGCATACTGTTTCTCTTTTGTGCATTCCTCTTTTTTGAAGTTTCTGCGTGGTAGTGATTCGTGGACTGTTCTTAAAGGCCCTGCTTCTCTTCATGAGGGGTGGACAAAGCCTTGAAAATAAAAAAAGAGGGCCTGTGGTTTTGTGGAAACTTTTTGTTTTTTAAACAATAGTTGTTATATTGTTGGTTTTGACAAAAGATCTAAAGCTAAATTGTCAGTGTGTCATCTTCCTTTTGGATTCAAATTTCCTGTTGGAATAATTTTGTTCGACTTTTATTGCAAAATGAAGTGGCAACTGTGACAGAGGCACTGTTATGAGTAACTTGTCATGGCAACATTAACTGTGAGCCCACGTGCCCTTTGTGATTTTGTGATCGGGAGTGATAGCTTTTGAGATGATCTATATAAAAAAAATTAAAATCTATGGACTTTTGGGTTGTTGCAATAGCTTATTTTCCTTGTCGTTGTTAATTTGCCTCTAGTCTTGTTTGTTGTTGATGGATGTTAAGAACTACTGGTAAAAAAGGGGTAAAAAATGCTTCTCTTTTTGGCTTGTATTCAAGCTGCAAAATGTGTTGTTTAGCCTTTTATGAAGATATTGCCTCTTTTTGGATTGCAAGTCAACTGTGTTCAGTTGTTTTGATAGTCTTGTGGTGTCTAGTTACCTTTAAAACAAGACCTTGCTGATTTTGTTGCTTATTTTTTGTTAATTGACTACAGAGGAGTTGGCTAGCAATAATCTTTGTATCTTCTCATTGAATATTGTTAGATATCTTTGATGGAACTCCTCTTATTGATTCTCACTATCTTGCAATTTGTGATTGTCCACAGGAACACTGTGTTTGGAGGTGCTCGCCCAAGAGAATTGGTAATTTTCTCTCCTTTCAAGAGAATTGAAATGTGTGTTTGTATATCATGTATCTCAGTCGTCTTGTGAATGATATTGTACTGGATTTCTTTTTGTAATATTTCTTTCTGTTTCATCATTTTTGTAGATACATTTTGTTTGCTTCTGTAGTTCCCTAATAAATCAAATGATAATTGTTAAATTTTGGTCAGCGGTGATTTTGAATTGTCTTGGTGGTATGGTGGCGTTTTGCGTATCTTGTTGGAGCATATAGATATCCATTTATGGAATTCCTTCTTTTTCTTTTCTTCTCTTTCTCCCTTCGTGCCATCCACATCTTTCTTGATTTTGTCTTAATTTTACATACTACTGGTTTTGATACAGGTTCTAAAGGATCGTGGCAGTGATATTGTTGCTGTTAATAACGATGACTTGGTTCAGCCTCCTCAGAGGTAACTTTGCAATTATTGTTGTCATGATCATTTACTATGTAGGAGAGCACGGATATTTAATTTGATTTTTCTATTTTGTATATAATCAAACATTGTTTTCCTTTCTCTGCTTTGTGAAGGGTTAAGCAAGATGGTGTTAGGACGGAGAGAGTGTCTGTGCATGCTGCTTCCACTCGTTACACTGACAAGCATGAAAATATTCCTGTTGAACATAGAACAGGGAGGTATACTGATAGGCGGGAGCACAAGTTGGAGGGTGAGGGAGCAGATCCTCAGAGGAAGAACTGGAGAGGCGAGAATTGGAGAAATAAAAGAGAGTTTGACAAGCCACAGCGGCAGCAGCAGCAGCAGCACCAACAACAACAGGAGAGGCCTCCTTCACCAGACACTTGGCGCAAGCCTGTTGAACAGGCAACACCGGCCCCTTCTGATGCTCAGGGGGTTCGCTTTGGGAAAGCAGCTTCAGCAGTTGAGCTTGCCCAGGCCTTCTCGAGACCTATTTCTGATCCAACAACTGCTGATCGTGCTTCTGGACAAAGAAATCTTCCAGGTCGTGGGCAGATACCCTTTTCTCGTCTGACTGGGCCTGCCCCAAGGCCGCAGATAAATGGTTACTGAAGTTTAGGGATGATTTAGATGATAGCATTACAGAGGAAGATTTTCTGGGACAGCAGATGAGTAGGAAGTTGTGCCCAGTACAATTTGCAGCACCGGCCTTGAATTTGTTACTCATGCCTGGAGGAAGTCAAAGTTGGATAAGCCCTTTGAAGTGATGAGAACTGGCGGACTAAATTTCTTTTCCTTCCCCTTGTCAGCACCAATTTCTGGTCCGTTGATAGCATTCAAAACGAAATTCCAAAGCACAGAGAAGAACCAGTTGGAGGATTACTGGCCTATGAGCATCTGGGTTGAAACTAGAAAAGATTGAATGTCGGTGGAGTTGACTGTACTTCAATGGTCATGCTGTTTCCCTTCATATATTAGTGTACTCTTTTAACAAAAAATTGATAAAAAAATAGTGACTGGATGGAACATCCTGCTAGTTTCAAGTGCTATTGCTAATCCTTGGTCTGATAGATAAGGTTGATTTGTTATAATTTGTTAGTCGGTCTGTTTTACCGGATATGATAAATTGCCATCCTCGCTGAATGAATGATTTTTGAAATCATAATCTGGCGCATGTACAATGTACACAACAGGGAACTATTCATGTGAAAATGAAACATTGTTTACAAGAATAGGAAATTAGTCAGAATTTAGATGATAATCATTGCGGGTGGAAAGAGAAGAATGCCTGCTCCCAGAATTTGCAGCCTGAAAAGAGAAAACAAATGAGTTAAACCAAGTGTCACTGAGAGAGTAGATGGATCATCATCTGGAAGAAATTTTTGGTGAGAAAAATTTTCATACCCTTGATTTTTCCCTCGACTTGAAGCTTGCGACTTAGTTAATTTGGTGCAGGTTTTCATGGGTTTGCATTGAACTCTATGGCTGCGGGCTAGTTTCTTTGCAGCCTTGAGAGTTTCATTTTCAGAAATGGGGAGAAGAGCTGGTTGCCACCGTGCTACCGATTGCTCCTTCCGACAACCATCGTTGTCGTCATCCCGTTTTGCAGCCATACTCTCAGCCCCGCCGGCAACACCCCAGCAAGAAGACAATAAGTTTTTCATGTTGCAATAATCTCCCACCCAAAAATTGCAGTTTCAGTCCCCAAGTATGTAGAACTCAGGACGGATTCCTGCTTAGAACTTTGCATTACAAATGTGCTATTTATATGGTATGAAGCTGGAAGAGCGAGTGTTGAAAAATGGTTGGGTCCTATTTGCCGGGAAGCCGGGGGTCCGAGGTGGCGGGCTGGCCGGAATATTTTACAGTTTACACATACATTTTCATTTGAGGATGTCCAAACAGAAATGGGGAACAGTTTAAGTGAATGGGGCAAAAACAATAGGCATCGAGTCAAAACCGATCGGCAGTAGATATTTTTTCTTCTTCTAATTTCCATTTTGCGGTGTCTAAGATAACTTCTTACAAGTGGCAGGTTTGGACTTGATCAAAAGTGGTTTCTGATGAATAATACTACTAATTTAAAGATACTGTACTATGAACAATTTTAAAATCTTGCTTTTTTTTTTTTTATGGTTTAGACCTGTTTATGTGAAGAAGTTGTTACATTAGCTTTATTAGCGTATTATTATTATTTTCTTTTAATTAGAATACTGGACCTTGTTGATTGGTTCTTGTTCCTCAACCGAAAGTCAAATTGAAAACTATAGGACTAGAAAGTTTAACGAAGGTCAATTCCAAATCTCACCTTCTCAATTAATTTATTTAGTGTATGTTGCATGGCGGCCTTAGCCTATTAAACAAGTTGTGTATCCCCAGGCGGCTGCAATTAACTGGTTTAAGTATACAAATATTCTTCTCTCTGGTATATATTTGTGCCTTATAAATTGGAGTGGAAAAAATATGTGACGATACAAAATTTGCACCTAAAATTAATGTCCAGAAATTAGGTTTCCATTCCAATGTGAATTCCACTTGACAAAAAGCCGTTGACCTTAATTTCCCATACCGTAGAATAGAGCGGAGTGGACTAGTACCAAATCTTAACGTTGTTTTCTCACTATAAAAAAACAAAGGGTAAATGATAAAATCAGAATTCCTTTAGTTTGACATTGGTGAATAAAACAACTTAACCTGATATTTCCCTTTGGTGTTCGGTTGATGAAACAGTATGCATTTGCTCAATTTGTCAAAAAAGTGCCCTTTTGAAGAGAGTTGCGCATTATCCTTGAATCTTATTCTTTTTTGTTTCCCACACTCCAAAATTGGCGGAAAAAAGTGATGATCATTTCACTTTCTTGCAGAACTGTACAAAATGGACCTTAAGCTCGGACATAATGGCTTTATAGTATTGCTCCTTGGAGTGTGTTTTTGTCTCTGGAACCCTTGGTCAGTGTGACATTAATTAAGGAGGTAGAAATGGCTTAATTGGTTTTGATTAGTTTAATGAAAGTTGTGTCTCATGGACCATGGTGTTTGATTTGTCCTAGACTTTAGAGGGTTCTTATTCCTTCCACGTTGAACCCATATTTTGCACAAATTTCCTCACTTGACTAATTCAGCGTTTCTGCATCTTCATCATCATTTCTGAGATAGGCTGCTGAATGCTTGTGATTCTTTTTTTTTTAGCTTATACCCTTTCTTTTTCTCTTCAGCTTCTTTGGTTCTCTCTTTCATCAGTAGTATTATCCAGTGGTCGACTCTGAATCCTGCGATTTCGCAATCGAATTAGTGCAAGATGTGTTGTGATCTTGAAGTGGATGTTAATGGCCAAGGGATATTCTATGTCAACAAGGTAAAAACTGCAAGTTTGCAAACCTTTTTTGCTGTAATTTTTCTTGTCCTGTTTGAGATGCGACATGTGATTTGATATAACCTCTCCACATAGTATACTTGTACTTTGAGAACAGCTGCTTTTAAGTTAATTAACTGATTTTAATCTCTGTGTTTGCAGAAAATCCTTTCATGTTATTCGGGCAGAATACGGAAATTATTCATGAAATCCAATGATAAGTCTAGTAGGCTGAAGCTGATTTTCCATGATTTTCCGGGAGGAGCAGAAGGGTTTCAACTGATAACACAATTCTGCTATAATGGAGGCAGCCTGAGCATATCTCCCTCCAATGTAATTTTATTGCATTCTGCTGGCATTTTTCTGGAAATGAATGAAACTAACTCTGGACCATCCAGTTTGGTAAGCCAAACTGAAGAGTACTTCAGGGGATCAGTCCACCAATGGGTCTGGGCTGATCTGCTAGAATGCTTGAAGCAATGCCAATACTTGCTGCATTTCATAAGTTCTTCGGATATGTTTCGAAAACTTTTGGATTGCGTCGTTGGAAGGCTTTTGCCCTGTTCCTTTCCCAGTCCTTATGCTTCTTCTACAGACAGTTCATGTATAAATTTTTCAGGAGATATGAGTAGAGAAAGCATCAGCAACTACAGCTCAGAAACTACAACCAACTCGTGGTTTGAAGACTTGGTGTTCTTAAGGATTGACATAATAGAGAAGCTTGTGGAGACTATGATTTCAAAGAAATGGGACACCAACACAATATCTTCTTTCCTGTTTCATTATCAGAGAATGAAATTCAATAGTACTCTGGTGGTCAAAAGAGCGGAAAAGCGCAGAATCATAGAGACCGTGATCGATCTTCTTAGTTTGCTGGACAGGAGCCTTATTTCTATCAGGCATCTTTTCTATAATCTTCGGCTTTCTGTACCTTTGAAACTGAGTAAATGTAGCAAGAAGCAGTTAGAAAACTTAATCGGTTCAGTTCTGGACAAGGCGAATTTGGATGACTTGATTTTTCCATCTCCACCTGAGAAGAATCATGCATATGATGTGGATTTGATTCTGAGGTTACAGAAACAATTCCTGCTTGAAAGCACTGAGACATTTCCCATGCATCGTTCGAAGAAAGTTGCGCTTTTGCTGGACTCTTACATTGCAGAAGTAGCCCCTGATCCTAATCTCCAATCATCAAAATTTGTTGCATTAACTACAGCTCTTCCTGCTATTGCCAGAGACTCTCATGACAGGATTTATCAGGCATTAGATATGTATCTCAAGGTATGATCATCTTTCTTACTTGCTGATTTTGTTCTTTGCAGATTCAAATGTAAAGTCAATGGCTTTTTTACTTAATTACATTCATCTTTATTACAGGTTCATGACAAGCTTTCTATTGAAGAAAGAATTAAAATCTGTGAAGTCCTTGACTACCAAAAACTCTCAGCTGAATTCTTGATTGAGTTAGCACAAAACATGAGTTTTCCAGGTTCCGCAAGGCTAGCTGCTTCTTTCTCTCACCACTCCAAGCTTAGAAGTATCTCCAACAATGAAGGCTATGTTACCAAGAGGTTCAGAACAAACATTGTGGATGACAGGTTTGATTTGAGTAGGGGAAAACAGACTGAAGTAGAGAAGTTCACAGAATTTGGTTTGACTTGTCCAGACAATATCAATCCCATTCCTGCACTATGATCCATAAAGCAGAGCTATTGCCATTAGGAATTCTGTACAGTTTGTGGTAAAATGTGATTACAGTGGATTTTGTTCAACCTGTTTGGTTTTCTTGATGTCAATGATTCATCAAATATGTAAAGAACTATGCTCCGCAAGTAATTGAAAAAGAATGATGATTCAATCAAAGGAAGCCTGGTATTTGTTACATGACAGGAGACATTTTATTAATAACTTCTTTCCATAATTTTGGCGTAAAACTAAAAGGGTTGTGGTTGAGTGGTAAGGACTCTTCCACTCTTAACCATAGGTCGAGCCTTCATACTTTGTTATAGGCATAGAGTAACCTTTAATCCTTTGGCCAGCTCTCCCACCTATTGAGATGCCTACCATGAATGAGGAGAATTAGTCACTGTTGCTGACGGTGGACACCTTGCAATATAAAAAAAAATAATTTTACAGTAACACTCGATAATTTCGATGCCAAATATATATATATATATATATATATATATATATATATATATATATATAGACACACACCACTGCTACATCTATAGCTAGCGTGACATGAGAATAACTCTGTTCCGTAATCAAGTAGTGACATTCGACCTAGTTGATGCCAAGTTTATTACGATTACATCAATAGCGTGCTATTTTATATTGTTACATCAATTAATATTAATTTTTCTGATTTTTATATATTATTACTCATTGAAATTTATACTCAGATTTGCAGGTGAAAAGGGCATCACCTTTCCAGTTTGATGTTGGTTTTGAAAATAGTGGTTCAAAGCCTAGAAAGAAGCTGGAATTTGAAATAAAAGTGCCATGATTAATTAAAAAAATTACAGAACAATAATCAACATCGAAATCCCCTTTCTCGAGAAAGAATCATAGTAAATGAGAATTAAAAAATACAGTGGATGTTTCTAAAGAATCTCTGGAATTTAGGTTTGATTCCCAGTCTGTACTACACTCTCTGATAAACACAAAATTGGCAGCGACTAATGCGGCTACATAACTTGCACATTGTTGGATTGGATTTTTCAGAAAGAGTAATAATATTCATCTCAGCATTCCATCTCACTTTACATGGCATCTATTGATTGAACTATTAAAATCAGAAATTTTATCATGAAAATAAATAAAAGATTTCTTTGAGAGAAGAGAACTGAGATTATATGAAAAAAAAATGTATTTCCTTTGTTGGAGAACTCTCTTTATATAGAGTTGGTATTAACCTAACAAACAGATAGATACATATCTAAATCTAATCATATCATAAATTTAAAATTCAAATATTTACAGCTAAAAAATAAGAACTGTTAGAATAATAAAATCTACCAATTATAACCAGCAAATCTTCAAATCTTGAAGATTTGCTGATTCTGTTGACATCCCCCTCAAATTGATGCTGGTTGGTCAGTTAGAATCAATTTGCTAATAAGAAAGTTATGGCATTGACTTGGCACGACTTTGGTGAGAATATATGCAATCTGTAGCGTAGTAGAGATATGTGGGAGGCTAAGTACTTGGTTATCATATGCTTCTCGAATATGGTGACAGTCAACCTCTATATGCTTCGTCCTTTCATGGTAAACATGGTTTGCTACAATTTGGATAGATCTAGTATTGTCAGCATGTAATGGAGTCGGTTTGGTTTGAGGAAAATCAAGTTCTGTGAGTAATCCACTTAACCAAACAATCTCTGAACACGCAGCTGACATTGCACGATACTCTGTCTTAGTAGAAGATTTAGAAACATAGTTCTGCTTTTTGCATTTCCATGAGATTAGAGCCTCACAAAGAAACATACACCAACTAGTAATTGATTTCCTAGTGTCAAGGCATCCTGCCCAATTTGCATCACTATAGGCCTGAAGTTAGAGTGAAGAACTAGCCGGGAAGAATAAGCCTCGATTAGAAGTATCGAGAAAGTATCGAATGAGGCGTTTAATAGCTAATAGATGGAGATGCCGAGGGGATTGCATAAACCTACTCACTGTATGGACAACATAAGAAATATTTGGGTGAGTGATAGTCAAATAAATTAGACTACCGGCCATCTTACGACACAAAGTAGGATAATCAAGAAGCCTTCCTTCATCCCGTCGATACTTCACATTAACTTCCATTGGAGTGTCAACTAGACTACTACCTGTGAGGCCAGCTAACTGAACCAAGTCTTGAATATACTTGTATTGGTTTAAGAAGATGTCCTTAGACTGACGATGAACCTCTAAACCCAAAAAATATGTTAGCTGGCCAAGGTCTTTCATATGAAAAGTAAAATGCAATAATTGTTTAATCTGAGTGATAACCTCCATATCGGATCCTGTAAGAACAATATCATCAACATAAACAAGAAGAACAACAATGCCCTAAGAAGTCTTTTGAAGAAATAGAGAAGAATCATATTTGCTCTGCTTGAATTGAAAGCCAAGTAAAGTAGATCGAAATTTCTCAAATCAAACTCTAAGTGCCTGCTTCAAACCATATAAAGAACGTTTTAGTTTGCAAACATCATTAGGTGAAGAACTAGGCATACCAGTGGGTAGTCTCATGTAAACTTCTTCTTTTAAATCCCCATGTAAGAAAGCATTTTTGACATCCATTTGGAATAAAGGCCATGAGCGGGAGGCAACAAGTGCCAATGTAGTTCGCATAGTGGTCATCGTAGCAACTGTTGCGAAAGTTTCCTCATAATTTAGGCCATACTCTTGTTTATTTCCAAACACCACAAGCTGGGCTTTATACCCCTCAATGGAACCGTCTGAACGTAGCTTGACAGAAAACACAAACTTAATACTAAGAGGTTTCATGGATTGATGACAAGTTACAATATTCCACCTGTGGTTCTCTTCAAGTGCAAGAAGTTCTGTCTCTATAGCTTTTCGCCAACACTCATGCTTCATGGCCTACTTATAAAATGATGGAATAGAAATAGATGTCAAGGTGGTCGACAATGATACCGGATTAGAGAACCCATACCAGAGTTGTAGCTGCCAATACTCCAAGACGAAGTTCCAGGGTTAAACAACCCCCAGAAAGACAATGCATTTTTTACTTTATATCTAAATAAATTAATCTAAATATTATTATAAATGTTATTAATATTAGTCTTACTGAAATATTTTGGATTATTATAACTCTACCCAAAAAGATTTATTTATTTATTTATTTTTGAGGTTAGAGTCTATTTATTTTAAATTTTAGATATAAAAGTATTCAAAAAGTATATAAACCTAACCAAAAAAAATTAAATTAACTTATCAGATTTTATCTAATGATTAACTTACTTTTTAAACTTCATCTATTAATTAATTAACTTATTAAATTTATTCAATAACTAAATATCATGTAAGGTGAGATAAAAATATGAGATAAATTAAGTGAGATGTGTATCATCACTCTTCCAGAAATTACCATAGAAAATATATATTGGAAATTTGGATTAACTTCTACTACTCAAGAGAGGATTTGCATTTATGCACATGCATGGAAAAGTTCGTTTAGTTTATTTCATTACATTTATAGAGGATGTCATCTGGAAAGTAGGAACTCATTAATGAAAGTGCTTCAAATGAATGTTAATTAAGCTTGTTGTATAGTGGAATTTTGAATGCAATTAGGGTATGTCTTTCGTAGTACTTATACTAAATTGATCTTAGAACTTTTAAGAGAAAAAACAAATCAAATTTGGTTTACAGCATTCTTGATATCACCAAATTGCTCATTTGTTGGTGAAAAAATGAAAGACAAACATTTTTGAAAGTGGCATTGTCTGGTTTTTTTTTGGCGTCTTACTTATTGGAATTTGGGTGCTTAATTAGTTAGTCAACACAAAAAAGAGCAATCTTTTCCCTATGCTTCCAAATTCTAGGTGATGCCTAGATATCTGAATTTTCTTGGAATCTTTTCTTCTGTAGACTATAGTAGTACTACTCCAGTAGCCTACGATGTTTTTTTTTTTTTTTTTGAAAAAATTATTATGAATTTTTTTTTTCTCCAAAAGAATCAAGACCATATTTGGCGATAGTCTAATGTTGAATCTATGAGATCTATACAAAACATAAATTTTGAAATCTTTGTGAGGACGAGTTATTTTAGAGAGCAATACAGTAACCTTTTCTATTCTTTTACTGAATCCCATGTAAGAATGTTAAACCTAAATGACTTTTATAGAAAATAAATAATCAGATAGTCTCAACTAAAATCAATTCACCTTAAGCCCTCGCTCATTAGTTTTTTATTTCATTTGTTTCAAAATAATTATCTAATTTATTATTTTTATTTTTAGTTCAAATCGTACAACAATCCTCACTCAATTTTAACACAACTTTTTCTAACATTTCGTCAATGTTATCCTCGGAATTTAATAATATTATACAAACATTGTTGAAAAAGAATAAATTTCCACCACCAATACTTAACGTAATTAATTCAATAAAGTGGTAAGTTATAATTAAGAAGAAAAATTATGAATAGAAAGACATGTAATTAACCTAATAACTGGTACAACACAACCGTGTTTCGGTAAAGCCAGGATGAAGAAAACCAAAACAGTGTCAATTAATCAAAAAATCATGGACTGAAACAGGGTAAAAAATATATAGGAAAAAAACTATAGTAATGAGATTTGAGTTTTATTCAATAATAATTTATGTCTAACGATGATAGGAGGATTAAATCTAAAACATCAGAGAAGCGCGTGACAAGAGTTCCTTTAAGCTATAAAAAAACAAAAAAAAAAACCCGAATTCATCAATCAAAACCTCCTTTAAAATCCTTTGCTTCAACTGCTAAAAACCCATTCTTCACTTCCCCATCTCTTCGTCATCGTCGTCTCTGCATGGAGGTTTGCATGGCAAGCAATCATAAAAATACAACACCCCAAACAGTGCTATAAAGAACAGCACAGCACAGAAGATGATCGGAATTTTGAATTCCCGCAACATCTCCATCTTTTTTGTCCTTGTTTATTGAACTTTTTTGTTATTGCCTCTCTATCGTCTCTGCCAATTATCACTTGTTCTATGCGAAACACATATGTTGTTTTGCGTAAATAAGCCGGTTTATATAGAGAGGGAGACTCTAGACACAATGTGTTATTAGTGGTACAATATAATGTTGACAAATTTTGATCTTCCTTTAGGGTAATCAATTGCATGATAATAATTTAGTAAT